TGGAACCTTCATCATCGAGACTCCCGCTGAGCGCAACGTTACTGTCATTGAGGAAGGCCCCGAGGAGCTCACCGAGCCTCACACTACATACTCGCCTCCCCGATCAGCCGGTGAGCCTGGAACCATCATCATCGACACTCCTCGAGCTCGCATTGCGGCCCGGCCAACCACAACTACACCTGAGCCTGAAACCACTTCCACTCAGGCTGCAACTATCAATACGCCAGCGGCCCCGACAGCACCCACCACTGAACCAGCTTCCACTGAGGATGGCACCAGCAGCAACCCTGATGCTCTCACCATCACTCCCGATGACAAGCACGACCATATTACTGTGGTTGAGCCCAACACTGACTATCCTGGTGCTACCGACAACATCACTCACATCATCCCTCCCACCGATGGCCAACCGGGCACTCATGTCATCTACACGCCACTTACAGACACTGTTGAGTCTACCTCCGAGTCGACCTCCAGTTATGTCACGAGATTCGAGACTATCACCATTCCTGGTGACCCGTCTACACTCACCAAGAACGATACTGCTTCCGGTGACCCCGAGACCACTGGCGTGGAGACCAACACCATCATCATTCCCCCATCCGGCACCGAGCCTGGAACTGTTCTCGTTCACACCAGTGTCTATCTGGATCAGACGCTGGCTCAACACGGCAACGTCACTCTCACCCGGGCTGGACCTCCCGGCGTCACCACTCCTTTCACCACATACGAGCCGCCGGCTCAAGAAACCGACCCTGGTACTATCATCATTGAGACGCCAGATTACAATGTCACCATCACTAGAGCCGCTCCTGAGTCTATCACAACCACGTTCACTACCTACTCACCACCGGGCAACCCCGGTGACCCAGGCACGGTTATCGTTGAAACCCCTGATTACAACGTCACTATCACTCGGGAGGCACCCGCTTCCATCACTACTCCTTTCACCACCTACAACCCACCTGGAACACCTGGTGATCCTGGTACTGTTATTGTTGAGACCCCCAACGGCGACTATAACATCACCATCACCCGCGCTGCTCCTCAGTCTATCACTACTATCTTCACTACCTACTCGCCACCCGCATCCAAGGGTGATCCAGGCACCATCATTGTTGAGACGCCTGACTACAACGTCACTATCACTAGAGAAGCTCCTGCTTCTATCACTACTCCCTTTACTACTTATAACCCCCCTGGCACGCCTGGCGATCCTGGCACAGTTATCGTCGAGACTCCCAACGGCGATTACAATGTCACCATCACCAGAGCTGCCCCTGCCTCTATCACGACTCCTTTCACAACCTATTCGCCTCCAGGTACCCCAGGCGATCCCGGTACGGTTATCGTCGAGACTCCCGACTACAATGTCACCGTCACTCGGGCTGGTCCGTCATCGGCTACTACTCGGTTTACCACCTACTCGCCGCCAGGCTCTGCTGGTGATCCCGGCACTATCATCATTGAGACTCCTGACTACAATGTGACGGTTACACGATCTGGACCGACATCATGGACAACCTACTCGCCACCAGCTTCCGCAGATGACCCAGGAACCATCTTCATTGATGTTCCCGAGGATAGAGTGGCCGATCCCACCACTGCCGAGGAATCTCGCAACGTTACCATCACTCGCGCACGCCCCAGCACGGCAACCGATATGTACACGACTTACGAGCCTCCTGCCACACGAGGTGATCCCGGTACCATCATCATCGAGACTCCTCTTGTCAGAGTCGCTGGAAACGATCCAACCACTGTTGACGAGACCACGACTGCTGAGGAGACCACCACCTTGGAGGAGGCCAGCGCCAGCAACGTCACCATCACTGAGGTGGTCAGCACCATCACTCGACCTTACACCACCTACTCGCCAGCTGGTGCTAGGGGTGAGCCTGGTACTGTTATCATCGAGCTCCCGCCGGACCACAACGTCACCGTCACCGAGTACGTCAGCTCGAGAACTGCTCCTTACACTACCTATTCTCGTGCCGCTGTTCAAGGTGATCCCAACACGGTGATTATCGAGCTTCCTCCCGAGCGCAATGTGACGACAACAGAAGACGTCAGCACTATCACTGCTCCCTACACCACGTATTCGCCCCCAGGTGCTGCTGGCGATCCTGGCACTATCATTATCGAGCTGCCACCTGATAGGAACGTGACCACAACTGAGTACGTGAGCACCATCACTCGACCTTACACAACCTATTCGCCCCCTGCTTCCCCCGGCGACCCAGGCACAATCATCATCGAGCTTCCTCCTGATAGCAACGTAACTATCACCGAGGTGGTCAGCACGATCACGGCTCCTTACACAACATATTCTCCCCCTGGAGCTGCTGGCGACCCAGGCACCGTCATCATTGAGCTTCCTCCTGACCGCAACGTGACCGTCACAACTGTCATCGAGACAATCACTCAGGCATACACAACATATGCATCGCCCGCCAACCGCGGCGATCCTGGAACTGTCATTGTTGAGTTGCCGCCGGACCACAATGTTACGATCACAACCCAGGTGGACACGATTACAGCGCCATATACGACTTACTACCCTCCAGCCAACGGAGGCGACCCTGGAACGGTTGTCGTAGAATTGCCGCCAGACTCCAACGTGACCATCACCACCCAGGTCGACACAATCACGGCTCCGTACACAACCTACTCGCCACCAGCCAACAGAGGTGACCCGGGTACCATTATCGTCGAGCTACCGCCAGACTCCAATGTCACGAGGACAACCGAAGTCGATACGATTACGGCACCTTATACCACTTACTACCCTCCAGCCAACAGAGGCGACCCTGGTACGATTGTCGTGGAGATGCCGCCGGACCGCAATGTCACTATCACGACGGTTGTTGACACCATCACCGCACCTTATACCACCTACTCGCCTCCTGGTAACCAAGGAGACCCCGGAACCGTCATCGTCGAATTGCCCCCTGACCACAACGTCACTATCACAACCGAGGTTGAGACCATTACGGAACCTTATACTACCTACTCGCCGCCTGCGAACAGAGGAGATCCCGGTACAATTATCGTGGAGATGCCTCCTGACCGCAACGTGACTACTACAGTTGCTGGACCCAGCACCCTCACAGGCCGCTACACTACCTACTCGCCTCCTGGACGCGCTGGAGACCCCGGCACAGTTATCGTCGAGACACCACCCCACCACAACATCACGATCACTACCGAAGGTGACGAAACACTCACCGGTCCATTCACTACCTATTATCCGCCCGAATCTGAAGATGATCCCGGCACCATTGTCATCGAGACTCCCAGAGCCAGGGTGGCTGTCACGACCACGTCCACGAGCACAACGTCGCATCACGACGCGGCGTCTACTTCATCTTCTTTGTCTCCTAGTACCACATCTCGTGCGCCTACGACCGCGAGCACTACATCATCTTCTATTCCGTCTACCACATCTCGTGCACCAACCACGAGCTCATCAACCTCAACATCTCATTCAACGTCAACTTCAACATCTCACTCAACGTCAACCTCCACTAGTTCATCATCATCCTCTCGTTCTACCACCTCGACCACAACCTCGAGATCTACTACAACCACTACCACGACTACTAGCAGTGCTGCAGCGGCTACCGTCCGATTCGACTGCGATGTCTACGGATACCTCTTCCAGAAGACCTCACTCTACCGTGTTGAGATTACCACTGGAAAGACCACCCTCATCAAGTCAGGAATCGGTCCTGGTGGTTGGATCAACGGTATCGGTTACAACCGATACGACGATTACATCTACGGCATGGTTATGGATGACACGGGTTCTCAGCTTATCCGAATCGGCGCAGATGGTGGCTGGACCCTACTCTCTGCCCGTGTCTCCAACCGCAACGTCATCATGGGTGATATCGACAACCAAGGTCGCTACTGGTTCTCTGATGCTGGTCGACCTTGGTGGGCCATCGATCTCTACCCCGGCTCATCCACCTATGGCAAGATCATCCTGAGCGGTACAGCAACTCACGATGATGGTATGGCCGATTGGGCATTCGTCCCTGGAGGCGGTGACTACATGTATGCCATCCAGTACACTCAGACATCCTCTACCTTGACCCGGTTCAGCCGCACAAGCTACACCTGGCAGACCCTCAAGGCCTTTGGCAACATCACAGGCAACAACGTCTGGGGTGCTCTGTACGCGGCCGCCGACGGAAACTTGTACGGATCCGAAAACACCAGCGGCAATATCTACAAGTTCCCCATTGCCCCCACCATCGGAACTCCCAAGTTCCTGGCCGCGGGTCCTGTATCAAGCTGGAACGATGGAGCCAGATGTATCGACAGCGAGTCCATCGTCGCCTAAGGCGCATCCTTCGCCTAGGGAATTTCCTATGTCTTTCTAGCCTGTCTCTTAGCCTGTATCATAGCCACCATTAGATTGTAAGCTTTCCTTACTACCTAACCAGAAATTGATCTCGTATGTTCTGTTACCTCTATTGCCTACAACCGTTTGTGAATGTTCCGCCATGGCCATGAAGCCAATCTGATAAACATCAAAACCCTTATCGAACCTTGGTGCTTTGACAGTGAATCACTGTCGGTCCGCCACGCACTGCGTCTGTCAACACTGGCACTATACAAACCCAGGCGATAATACCATGGAAAGAAACCTGTTGTCTAAAATTCTGGGATTAATTGAATCGGTGAGTTATGGTCATCGCCTACTGGCCAAATACTAACTTGGCTTTGCAGTCTATGAGGCGAGCAGTGCACAGCAGCCAACGTCGCTTTTATCCCTCTCGGGAACTCGAACGAAAACAAACGAATTCCTTTCACGCTTCCAAACAAATCGAGTCTCATCCTCGCAGTTCATGCTGAGTCACAGCCGAGTGATCAAAATCTTCAGCAGTGCACACCCAAACTTGACACTGCCGAACAACACCACGACCTCAACCAAAACCACACAAAATCATCCCTACCTCTCACATCATTCACCCCCAAGCTACGCTCCCACGATGTCGGAAACATTCCATCCATTTCCCCGTCTCCCCGCGGAGCTGCGACTGGCCATTTGGAAGCTCGCCCTTCACACCGAAGGCTCGACCCGCCCATGGGCTCACTTCTTCGGTATCCTCGTCCCTGATCAAGATGAAGACGCCGATTCTTTGATGAGCCAGAGTTTGCTACGAAGACGACGGACATATGTCCCATATGTCCCCACACATCGCCTCATTGGACCTCGCTTCATGACGTCTACCGAGGATCGCTCCGTCGGCATCAAGCAGGTACCTGCCTCATGGACCGTCAATAATCCCTCGGCCTATCTGATCGACAGCGGCCACTGGCTGACCTGTCGGGAGTCTCTACGTGTGATAGAACATAGCGTCAACCAGTGGGTACAATACATGACATTCGATGATCTCTACTGACGGGTCCTTCAGCTCCTACTACTACAGGCTACCAATGCCCTCTCAAAGCGATGCCCAGATGTCACAGGACCACCCAGACCGCTTCATCGTTGTCCACCCACACAAGGATCTCTTTTGCTTTCAGCCATATGACTGGTACATCTTATACTTGAAGTGTGGTTTCGCCGATTTCCTCATCGTCACCTTTGGCGGCTACGTGGAAAACGCAGCCATTGAGTACAATCCGCAGTGGGGCGTTGATGTGAAAGAGGCCGGGGGAGATCACGAACAACTCAAGATATTCGACGACTTTTTCCACCTCGCCATTAGCTCGGCTTCACTCACATATCTTGAGTCACTCTGGTTCATCGACTATCGAATCAAGCGGCGACACCACGTGCGCACCAAGGAGCAGTCCGAGGCGCCGCTGGGCCAAGTCTTTTACCAGAATGGACGTCGGTTTGTCGAGGTAGACATCGAATGTGAGGATTCCCCCTGGGAACAGTCCTTCGAGGTCGCCGAGGGCGAATGGATCAGCTGTAAAACGTTTATCCTAGCCCTTCGACAAGCGTGTCAAGACCACCTGGATAGCGGAGAAATGATTTACTTTCGTGGCGACGACAAACAAGAGGCGGCTCCTTTCTTAGGAGTCTTGGCTTGTGTAGAGGACTGATCGTTGATGGATCCAAGGGTACAAAGAGTAGTGAGCGACATCCTTTGTTTACGACATATGGCCCTCCTTTCCTGAAGCCTAGCGGCACCCTTTTTCAACGGTATACTCCTCTATTCTTTCCGAGCTTTCTTTGTTTTTTCAGATCCAACACTCTTGGGCCCAACGGCACCTGCATGGACAGATGCGACTGTTCCATGCCCCCTGGCCCGCGAGTGGCACGCCCTACTCAGTTTGTTTGGTACGTTCTTGTTTGTCTCTCCTGTTTGCTGTTTGCTCACAATCATCCTTTGAGCAGTTTTTCTTCTGTGGTGGCTCGTGCCATTCACATTTCGTCGATGATGTAAAGACCCCCCTGGGGCCTTTGCGGAGGCACCAGGACGATGGCCGGCACCTTCACGCGGTGTTCTGGGTCAGTAACCGGGAGTCTTTGACTCTTGGTGAAGCTAAGACCGGTCAGTTGAGTTACAAATATTGCATGTAGTTGGTAAATACCAACATGGTTAGTGACATTTGTTACAAACATGTTCGATTTAGACATGGCAGGTCCAAACAATCATCAAAGGGCATCCAAACATTCATCAAAGCATATCTATATATTCATCAAAGCATGCCTAAAGAATAATCAAAACAAGTCTAAGAATTGTCAAATTGGGCATGGTGGACAGGAGCGTGCAACAGCCCTCAGGCAGCGTCTTGGTGGCGATGCGACGAACAACTGCGAATGGAACTCGGGACCAAACATGTGCAACACACGCAACAGCATACGTAAACTTGAGGCAATTCTGAGTCACTTCAAAATCTTACAGCGGGTCTTGAGAATTGTATCACGCAGTGAGGGAGGTGGCCGGGATATCTGCCTGCTGGGCTGTGAAAAGGGGCAACGCCTCAAACCACAGAACATGCCAACATTGTGATTGTTTCTTTCGCCACAGGATATCGTAGTACGTGTAGCTTCTAAGGTGACTAATTGAAGCATCAAAGTTTGCAAGATTACGCGTACCCTCTCTAAAACCCTCGTGATGCCTTCACCTAGGTGATCTTGAGGGTCGGATGCCTTGCCCCAACACAAGTGACTCACTGCCCCTGAATCCAGCACACGTATGCAAAATCCATTACAAATCCAAAGATGCTAGGATAAGCATCCGTGATGTGAGAAACTCTTACGGGCAAACCCGTATCAAGATCCACATCAAAATCAAAACTTCTCACCATGTGCCGGCTCAACTCTACGAAATGCGACGCCTGCCAACAGACCCTGGCATACCACAAGACCTTTTGCCGCAGGGTCCGCCTCGCAAGCCAGGTCTGCGGCAGAGTTGAACACGTTGTCGACTTTGTGTCCTCGGATGGTTGCCCCGACTGCTGGAGGCGGAAAAAGAGCTGGCGTCGATGGTGCTGTTGGAGGAACGACAGCTCCGGCGAGATCCATTCAACGAGGTTGGAGATTCCAAGATGGCGACAGCGAGTCCGAGAGTGTCGCGAAGCGATAACCAACAGGGTCCATCTTTGACGGTATCATCGCAAAGTCGTATCAGAGCCTAACGGGCGACTCAGGTAGAAGTGGTGGCGCCGTATGGCCGCTCAGGGAGAAGGATTTGCCTGACATTTGCCATGGCAGGATCACGGAAGCCTCCTACGTTTTTATACTAGTGAGTCGCCATCTGTTGGTCACCAAATTGCGGTCAGTCCGAGGCCATCCCAGTTAAAACCAAAAGCTCCGGGTCCCTCTCGGAACCAGTCCGAGCATCCAGAAGACCCGAGAGAGATGCAAGACCCTCTTCTACTTTTCTGTCCCATACGACGTCGAAATTCGTGGAAGATTCTCGTCAACAGCGGAATGGTGGACTCGGTCAGTCGAAAACGAAACAATGACGTCAATGAAGCATCTCGACGCTGGCTGTTGATCATGGCTTGCCCCACACAGCCCTGAGTGCGGGACCGGGTTCCTGGGTTCTTCAACGTTGACGAAACTGTGCGTGCTTGACTCGAGCCAGTTCCTGACGTCCAGGCTGGTGTGGGCGGGAGGAGGAAATCCTCCGCCACCAGGAGGAGGGGAAAGAGACCCTGAGTTTTGAGTGGGATTGTGATTTTAGCATCTCGACGGCCATGGCCAATATAACCCCCAAAGCTGAGATTTCATGTGCACTTTTGATCCACCCCGGACGAGGCTCTCCGCCCTGGCCGCCCTAGCCTACTTGGTGTTCCCCCAACTCCCCCGTTAAAGCCGCGCGCGTTATTGCCCACGGTGCCTGTTGAAGTGTCTGTTGAGACTAGCATGCAGGCTGGGCCAGTTAGAAACTGCGGACATCTCCTCCGGCCCAAGCAAGCAACGCATACGCACACCGCTTGCACTTGCGCTTGCGCGTGTGCGACTGCGCTATTGTCGACTTTAATCAGAATCTCGTTATTACTGGCGATGTCCCTCATCTCCACCGATCCTCCCTAAGCCATGATCCACCTTTGCACGTCTTTCTGCACCGAGTGCATGTCTACTTCATGCAGAGAGAACTCGAGTTGGGCTTTCCAAGCTGGGCGCGTCTGGCGTCGACAACCAGTCCAATCCAACCCAAGGTCCAGGCGAAAAATGCTGTCAACGGTTGTCAGCTCGCAGCCCAATCATTTCTGACAGCAGGGGTCAGTGGCCTGGACACTGATACTACGCAGTAAGGCCGCCGTGGCATGGCACCTCTGCCCGCCATGTGATGCATCAAATTCCGAGCATCAAGCCGAGAAACCGCCAAGTCCACTAATAGGAACTGTGCCGTTTCCCAAATCCGCGTTACCACTGGTGGCGGACAGTGGTGAAGCGTCGACTGCTGGAGAAGAGAGCTGATAGTGGGGTGTTGAGAAGGGCGATGCTCTCTGATGAAACACCAAAAAGAGCAAGATCTTCAATCTTGCCCAAGTCTTTTTCTCAAACTGCACGGCCACTGGTCCCTGAGCGTCCTGGTTCGTCTCTCCAGAGGTCAACGCCACACTTGGCCCACAAGCCATCAACCACTCTCGTCTCAATTCACCAACCAAGTCTGGTGCACCGCCAGCAAAGAACCGTGCCACTTCCGGTGTCACCGAGAAAGATTGTATCAAATACGGGTCCCAGTTACGTGGACAGTCGTCTCCGTGCCTTGTGATTTCTCCCGATCTTCAGTGCATTTCCTCACAGCCCGGTGAGCGTGGTGATCGAGGAATAAGCTGGTAGCCTGTAGCCCAACGGTCTGGACCGTTCTGCTCAGCCTCCCCAGCCGAGGCTCCGCATGCATCGTTGAACCATGTTCCGGGGTGCTTCACGCGACAGCCTGTCAGTGGTTAGGGACCACCTGGTAATCCGCGCGCATGCTTCGAACCATGATTCAATCAGAGGCAGCCGGAGTTTTAAAGGCTTGACTGCCGGGGGTACCGCGATACATCCACCCGACTGGTCCTGTGGCGCCCTGACCCGCAATCTGCCTGTCGGTGATGGCGCGCCTAAATCCCTAGACGAGAGCCCGTCGCCCCGGTCATGGTGTCTGCGGTTGGGAGGCAGCAAGCACAGGCATTGTCCATCCGCGATCGTGGATCCCGGGATCCCGGACCACCCTCAGGACCCTGACCGTGGTAGCGCCCGAGATGCTTGGCATTGACCTCGTTCAGCGGGAATGTTATCGCAACGGCCCGTGATATAAGGTGAGCACCTGAGTTGGGCCGCCCTGGTGGGCGGGCGTGCAACGGACGTACATTGCGAACACGGCGCTAGTTAACGGCGCCGTCCGAGGCTCCCGTACCGACAGCGAGGATCAACCAACCCGCGGATGAATGCCAGTACGGAGGGCCTGCATGCACCTCTTTGTCTGTTTCTTGGCCCGCTGGAACCTCTGGAACCTCACCCAAACCACTAGCGAATCGATGGCGCAAGCGTGGCGGAGACAAGACGCCCCTCCCTGGGTGTCGTGCGCCGCGGGGGGGTCAAGGCTAACGGACAGACAACCTCTCCGGGGCCAGGACAGGGCAGGGCGATTCCAGCTGGCTCCAGCAGCGGCGCCGATCGGCCGGCAGATAAGTGACCGTCTCCAAAGAGGCCGTTGAAACAATTGACACGGTCGATAGCAAAGCCTCAGTCCACGGGGAGCTTGGAGAAGGGAAAAGCGGATCCCGTTTGCGCGAGCTTCCTTTTGTAAGCGCCGCATTGCCGCCCCCGCCTATCAGGCGGGTCAAGGAGCAAATGCTCCGGCTCCTGGACTCCCTGCCCTGAATTGGATCAGACAAGTGTGTGTTTTCACCCAGCAGACGCTCCTCGGTGGACGCACACGATTTTAATATCGCTTCTCTCAAAATGGCTCGTCGTCGCATGCTCTTGTTCCTGCCTGTTCCTGCTCCTGCTCCGTCTCCGTCAGTGCGGCGCCATCTGATCCGCTCGCCATCATGTCCCTCTTTCGCCACGAGCCCGCCAGGTAACGTCGCCTGTGGTTGAGACGACCGACCGACGGAGGCTCCCTCCCTCACCTTTAAACTCCGGCTGGGACCCTGTGCTGTGGCCCCTGGACCTCCTGGAGCCACCCCTGGACACGCTGGGCCGCGGTGGCAACCTTCTGTCCCCTCTAGGCCATACAGACTCCAGAGGTCCATCCGACGCCACATCCTTTATATCAGCCCTATCCGGTCGTCCTCGAGACACAGTCGTCTCGCCCCAGCCCAATAGGTCACGGCCTCTGATCAGCGATATCATTGTCAAGCCTCTTTTCGTCTTTGTTGCTTATTGTCAACTCGTCTCTTGGTCTCTTTTTCTCTCCGCGGCGCCCCTTTTCTGCGTCATTGTCCATGTCGTTGGTGCAGGTTCCCCCCAATTCTCGCATCTGTCGACTCCCATCATCGCCTATCCAGTATCAGGATCTGAACAACCAAGTTCGAGCTCACGATAAATGTGCACGCAGCATTCGGCTGCATGCCAAGTCTGCGGGAAAGAGTATCTCGTCTATGTTGAGTTCTGTCACGCATTTCATCCACCCATGCTGGTCTGTCCGCTAGGTCTGCTGCTCCTGGGAAATGACATGCGTGACGGGCAGTGTCCAAGCCCAGTCTGTCCGAACAGTCTGAGAGGAGGCTGCCGGGTCATGTAATATGATATTGCCTCGGGAGAAGGACAGGAGGGAGTTGCCGGCCGACCCCAAAACCTCGACTCGCCGGCGATCCGACATCCTTTTTAGAGTTTCTGCCCAGTCGTCTCAACCTCGACAACTTGATCGATGCCTTTGTACTCGGGAACCTCAAAGCCATACTTGCTTGCAATGGCAGGAGTCACGAATCTGGACCGAAAGTTAATTGCCACCTGGCAACGCTATTGCACGGGTACGTACCGTCCGCCAATGAAGTGCCGTCCCCTGAAGTGATTCACTAGCGGCTTCGGCGCTGTCAGACTAACAAGTGCCGTAGGCATAAAGGAGCTGCCGAGCCCGGACTCGGGAGGGCCGTTCTCGATATCCCATGACGAGGGAGCATCAACCGACGTGACCGGCAACTTGGTTTCCTGAAGAGCCTGGATTACCGCGGGGAATGGCTCTCGGACTTCGCCGGAAAAGCTGAAACCTGGATGAACGGTTAAAAGCAATCGCCGTTGGAGGACGAGGACGAGGACGAACCGAAGATGGCGTCGACAATGTGATCCGTCGAGCTTACGGCTGACGAAAAGTCATCCACGAAGGGGACGTCGAGGTCTTCGAGCTGTTTTGCAAGCCGCTACGTAAACGATAAGCGGCTGTTATGCGTGGTGGGTTTGGGTTTGAGTTGGCTATGTGTGAGGGATAGGACTGCAACTCTCGGAAGATCCGAGACGACAATTGCTTCCACCGATCGATCCTTGCAGGACTGACAGGATGCACCATAAGAGATCCCTAGAAACAATACATCCACTGGACCATCCGGAAGCCAAGCCAACCTGGGATTGCAACAACACCGTACAACCGGCACTTGGTGAATCAAGGTGTAAATGGGAGAGAATCACTCACCTGGTAAAGATCATTCTTGCTCCGTTTGGGGTAGAAGACGGTAGGATTGTAACCATAGTGACGGAGATGGCGGGCAGCTACCAGTCCATCACCACCTTGAAGTTATCAGTAAGTCATCTTAAACGACAGTAGCGGAGCATACCGTTGTTTCCGGGGCCACATGCAACAAGGATCCTACGACCACTTTCGAGAGGTTGGAGACGGTAAACTTGTAGAATCAGTGTCTGGAACTTGTTGACTTTGAGCTCTTCCACTCAGAGCCCGATGCTTGAGACCAGTCACCTACCAGCCTGCGAGACGGCAAGACCGGCCAACTCCATCAGCTGGTCGATCGAAAATGCACCGGTGCTCATGAGCTCCTGGTCGAGAGCAGCAGCAGCCTTGGCTCCGAGGGTCTAAGCAAGTCAGTACGCAAGGTCCAAGAATGGTGTCCCGTAGCCTACCTTGATCGCCATAATGTCTTTGAATCTCTCAGCTCTTGTAATAAACCACAATATTTCGTAATAGCTTCAGCAGCAGAAAAAAAGCCAATCGTTCAGATGATGCAAAAGTAAGGTGACTTGGAATGTCGTCAATGGCGGAAGGTCGGAAAGTGCAGGGGACTGACATCACATCAGCGCAGTGCTTTCAGCGACGTGCCTGTCGGGCAAGAACACCGAACACCCCGGACTCGGCCCCCCCCCTGATTGGCTGGAGCGGCAAAACCAAGCTCCGGACCTCCGGGGGGTTCGAAATTGTTCACCATCACGATACCAGCTTCAGCCGTTCTATCTCGGTCGTGGTCGTCAATTCCCCTCGCCCATTGCCGCCATGGTTGTCAAGATCCGCCTCGCTCGTTTCGGGCGCCGAAACCAGCCATTCTACAACATCGTCATCGCCCACGCCCGGTACACCGCCCTCAATCCGCCCTCACCAATTCGTCCCAACTAACGAGAATGCAGGACGGCGCGCAACTCCCGCCCGCTCGAGGTTATCGGCACGTACGACCCGATCCCCAAGCCCGATCCGTATGACAACTCCGGAAAGCTTCACAAGGATATCAAGCTCGACACACAGCGTGCGAGGTACTGGATTGGTGTTGGTGCACAGCCCACCGACACGGCATGGCGGTTACTCTCAATGGTTGGCATCCTGCCAAAGAAGCAGTTTGGGCCCAAGCAGGATCAGCAGAAGGGTACTGTGAAGACGGAGGAAGTCAGGGTTCGTTAAGGGAGGCCTAAAAGGCTGTATGATATGTATGAAAGGCATTTCAAGGCGTTGGCTTGGGTCAGGTGTATTCCGATTTGATGGAGAGAGCAATTCCAGAGAACGATTGGATGGGAAGAAACGACGATATCGGCCAGGTCACCAAAGGTCACCATGCACCCAGACGAAATGCAATTAAGAGGACTGTACGATATGTGGTGAGGGTTTGAGGTTACCAGAGACACGCCATTTGTCGCTATTAAGAATTGTATTGAAGCACAACCAAAACCATATCTAAAACAACGCCTGAGCCGTCTTCAAAGCTCGCTCGCTATCAAAACGCCTATATGCCGTCTGTCACACGTCTTGATACCCAACATTCGTCATCCCCAATGAGGCCGTACAAGAAAAATACAGTCTATTTAGCAGTGGCTGCAGAGAAGATGTTGATGCCCAAGCATACGGCCATGACGACCGATCCGTAGATGGCGAGGGCGAGCGAAAGCCTGCGGAGGTGGTGGTGCTCGATGTGTTCGAGATCCCATCGCCACTTTCTGCGCCATCGCCATGAGTTTCGGTTGCTGCGGGTGCTGACGTTGCTCGCCATGCTAACACCGCTGCGAACGCTCGTTGTACTCTGAGCCAGGGCGGCAGATTCTTCCACATCTGATGTGCTGGAGTCTTCTCCCATGTCGTCGTCCTCCTTAACCAAACGCTGGTGATATGTACTGTCAGGGTCGCTGATTTTATAGTAGAAAAGACCAGGAAGAATGAAACTAATCGATGTCGATCCAGTGCTGCCAACGAAGGCGAGCACACGGTCTAAGCTGGTGACTGATAGAGCAGTCATGTATGCAAACGTTAGAAGAAATGTTGTAATAACAGCAAAACGAAGGTCGGACATGGTGGAGCCAGCTCCATGATCATTTGCAGGAGCTGTAGGGAGCAGAGGAGTTGAGGTCCGTCTGTTGCCCGAAGAGTGACGGTTGGGTCGCCACTTCAAGACGGCATCGAGTGAAGCTCGGCATGGATGGACTTGCAACGGGACCGAGAAGGTGACGAGAACGACAATAGCCGCCTTTCCGATTGTCGAAGCAGCACCAGTAGGATCTGTGCTTTGTTAGCCACTTGATCAAGATAGACGACAATGAGCATTTACACATAGAAACAATATTGCCAACCACGGCGTTGCCGAAAGTGATGTAACCAGTAATAGCCACAACAATATAGATAGAGGCAGCAGAGCCAATGCTCGACCCGACAACTCCAATAACGCTGGAGGGAGAGTTGTCCTTGAGCTCGTTGAGAATAGAGAACATCTAGCCAGTCAGTACGTATTCAGCAATTGGGGTGAAGCTCGCCTACATTCTGGTGGCAAGTATACGCAAAGACAACAACGGGGAGAGTGCTCAGCGTCTCGATTGCTCCGCCCCATTGAATCACGCGGATGCTCCCCGGGTCGGCATGCTTATCAACCGCAAAGTGGTAAATCACCAGAATGATGAGATACCCGATAGAGACCAGCGCAATAATGCTGGTGTACTTTAAAGAGTCCAGCCGCCGCAGGAAACTAAGCGGGATGATAATGAGCATAAAGGCGGTGATCCAAAAGTTTCGATCAACCAGATAAGGAGCGCTGTTGGCATTGCTAAGGAAGCCCAGCACCACGCCAGGCATCAAATCTCCAATGATGATCATGTACGACACGCCAACTCCAAAGCACTTGATCGCGATCGCGGCATCGAATATGACGGCGGCGTTGGGGTAGGTGATTTGCGACAGAGCAAAGAAGGACGCGGTTCCCCGCTCGAGATATCGGGCGCATCGTGACTGGAGGTAGAGGCCGAACGCGGCCGTTATGCCGGACCAGATAATAAGAAAGACGCCGAGCATGATTCCCATGTGGGACATGACAGAGGGCATGGCAAGGGTGCCAGCTCCGACAACTGTGACGTTATCAGCACCGCGTCGCTAGGGCTCGATCGAGGGACGCACTGGTATTCAGCAGGTTCACGACACTGCTGATCGTGGTGGCTTGGCCTCCATGGCCGCCATCCTTGTGGCCGCGACGTCGTGGTCTGAAGAGCAGATGGTCAGCGATCAGGATGTTTGGTTTGGCCGGTGTCGGCGTTGAAGGGGGCGAGTCTCACCTAGACATATCGTCGGCACTTCTGGTTGTTGAAGCGTTTCCATCAGATATAGTCGAGTAGTTTGTCATTTACGACGAAGAGGCTCGTAACGATAGGTTGAATCGGCGCGATCGTGGAAGGGCACGTATTGCGACGATGGGGGGCGTTTAGATGTTGCGATGTAGAAAGTGTGCACGAGTGAAGGTATGTGTCTATCTCTGCGTTCCTCGGCTTTCCAATCCGATTGCTGACTCGCAACGAAGAGGCGAGGCGAGACCGACCGGAGCCACGAGTGGCAGCCCTAGACCAGATTGCGTCAATGGGAACGCTACTTGGCTGCTCGCTGTTGCGTGCTGTGCTGCACTGCACTGCACGGTAAATACCGTCCTGCGGCACAGAGGCCCCCAAGACTGGTTGAACGCTCCGGTCGCGACACACCAGAGGAGAGTCACGAGAGAAGTGCCAACGAGGCCGATGTGGTTGGAGGAGATGCAGGAGGGAGAAGACACCAACAGAGGCGCCGGTCAGGAGATGACGACGGACCTGGGAATTCCTGACGGCGCTTGTTTTCTGCCACGATCCTGGGAACAAAGAAACCTAACGGGGGGACCTATCGCTGGAGCCTTGTGCCGAGCCAAAGCGGCCAATGAGCACGCGCCTCGATTGTTAATCAGCCAATCAGATGCCGGGTCAGCCAACTTTGGGTCCCAATCCGGGGAATAAGTTGAGGGACCATCCAGGGCTTTCCAGGGGCTTTGTGAGATCATGGATGCCTCCCGGGCGGTGTAACTGGATATCCAGCACTGTAATTCCGGCACATCTGTACTGTATGATGCTGGTTGAAGACCACCAGGTGACCTCACTTCTTGTCTCTCCCATCTTGGATGCCGTCCATCCAAACACCTGGGCCAGATGCGCCTCCTTGTCTGCGACATCAAAGGGCCATGGTTCAGCAAGTCTCACTCACTCACAAGTTCATGACATCCTCCTGACCCCCCACTTTCGCCCTTGACCGCATCCACACCGTCATTCCGCGGACGTGCATCAAACGTCCCGCGCCAGCGACTTGTCACGATGGCCACCACCATGGACGACACGACCCTTTCGACGCTCGACCTGCTCGAGTCGCGACTCCTTCGTATCGAGCATCTACTATATGGCCAGGCTGTGTCACCGGCACTGGCCCAAGACCGGTCGGCTGTTGAGAAGATTAGCCAGCTCGACCGGCGCTTCTCGCATCTCCTGGACAAGTTCCGCGTCTATGCCGAACTGATAAAGATTTGTACGTCGCAACGGGCATACTGCTAGAACACCTGCTCATCTCGCCTAGACAAGGCGCATCCGGACTTTTTTCATGCAGCCGCTCCCTCCGATCCCCCGTCGCAGCTATCCAGCGATGCCATCCAATCCATCGTTCTCGCCTCGGCCTCTGCGTTTCCCGCGACTCTTTCGTCCCTGACCGCGATCAAGGACAGCCCGATACCCGATCCATCAGAGAGCGCAAACCTCGTTGCGTTGCAGGATAGGATGAAGGCTATTGAGACGACTCAGATTGCCCAGGCCGCCGAAATCGCCGACCTTCGGAAACGGAGCGAGACGGTTATTCGATCATGGTACGAGACAGGCGTCATTGACAACTCGAGAACCATGGCCGACCTGGAGTCACGGGTAGCGATTGTTGAACGGCAAGTGAGGAGGGCAGAGCGAGAACTAGAAGCCGAGGACGAGTTATGAGCGATGCATACGAGATACCCATTGGAATTGAAGACATGTTCGAGTGTGACGGCCAGGCATAAGGGGCAATTTGAGTTTGATGCCCATCAGCGGCATATTTAGCTTCGGGTCGATGTCTCACGGCAGACCTTCAACATATTTCGGTCATGATCAAGACGACATGCCAGTCCGCAAGGGAGAAGAGGCATGTCCCATGATAAATGAGTGGATACACCAAAGCTGGACTACATAGAGCACAACAGCATGAGAAACTTGCGACATCTATAGCACTTAACATGATCAAGCACCACTTTCACAAGTTCCAAACCAGCTATCTCTCCTTACAAGGCCATTGCTGTACTCAACGGTAGAACTGTTAGTCAGGAACGGCAACAAAAGACCCCACTCTCAACCCAACCCTAATCCAACGTGGTGGAGTATCTCACGATGTCCACATAAACGACATAGCCTTTCACCGCTTCCATCAAATATCTTCTCCGCATGGTGTAGTTGGTTTATCACGTTCGGCTGTAACTGGAAAATTGCCACCGAAAGGTCCCTAGTTCGATTCTGGGTGGGGAGACGAGACTTTACTTTTGCTTGTCATTGTTACCTTTTTGCTAACAACTACGATGTTGAGGACATTGGTCAAGACTTGCAGTGAAGAAAAACTATGGACCGAACCCGAAGGGTTTTCAGTCAGCACAGAGCATGGGTGAAAACAGCAAACAAATTACTGACGAGAGGGTTGAATCACCACCCTACATGTTGAATGCTATGGGGGCAAATGCATGAATTCAGGGATGAATTTAATTTCCTGTAAATGGCGTTTTAGTGTCCACGAGAGTGAGGCGGTCTCCTTCTCGATTTCCCGCCGTTTCGAGTAAGAGAAATCAACCTCTGTTGAGGTGGCTTTCAGGACACAGCACAACACTCGCAGAATCGCCACATGATATAACCTCAGCACAGGACACACATATACTTGGATGGAACCTAGTCAGAGTTGCTCGGAATTTCTAGTGGGGTATCGTTGGGACTGGAGAGATGGGGAAAACTCAGTGGCCTGGACTTCTCTCACCATGGCGAGTCAAGGCAAGGGAGCAGCACTCATGTGCCTGACACTAGCGAGTCGTGAGGATACAGCCTCTCCCAGCAACTTCACAGGCAGACTAAAGAGCTACGTGTAACTTTGACATTGCTCAAGAAAACGACTTGACTGGTTCCACCGTATCCTCGGATGAATCGGTGACTGGCTCTTGAATGAGAGGCTAGATATGACGGTTTGTTTCGCGAGTTGGCAGGAGTTTAAACACCTGCAGCTAAAGCACTGTGCAGGTCTAGCCACAGTTGATGCAGGTCCCGGTTGAATGAGATACGATCGATTTTTCACAACAGCTGTTAAAAGTTCATGGTTGGTTGCATGCCACCACAAATTGTCCTCTCGGGGCTGTTTGTTCGGTCAGTTGCTTTAGCCAGGACCCAACACCAATTAACACGCTTCCCCAATTATCAGGCTTTCCCCTTGCATTCATAGTTTCACTGTCACAATGGGAACTAACCATTGATGCGAGGAGTTCTCTCAAGCACCAGTATCCATGCCCGCGGTGTAGGGTACACAGTCCCACATCCCCCCCAAGTCTACGTTGACCGACCACCTTGAGAGTTCTTAGACACAGTGGATCTTGACTGGTCTTTCAAGCTGCGATGATTGACTTGTGGGTCAAGTCTGAAACCCGCCGCCTACTCTTGTTCTGGGTCGTGGATATCGTACCAGATGACCACATAGTTCTACTAAAACTCTCCTCTTTAACCGCGAACCACAGAACCCTGCACTCAAGCTCGCAATGCTCTCCCTGTTAACCAAGACACGAAGCGCCCTGTAACCAGCCCCAGGCGAGAAGCGTCACAGATACGCGCGGGACACCTCTTTGCCGATCGTGATCAGTGCTGGCTTTGCGTCCCGGCATCCGTGGGCGCTAAGAACGGGAATGCCAGACGATCGTCGACACACCATTGACCGTTGGGATCAAGACTGGGGCTTTACTCCACCTCAGATGCTGCCCTGTCAAGTTTCGAAGAGGGCTGCTTACAACTACCGAGCCGAGGCGAAATCAATGATAGGGCTTGCAAGGGCTCTCGTCAGATGCCACGCGTTCTCGAGGGATAAAGAAGGTCGGGTTCCCAGCCACAAGGCAAATGGATCTCGGTTCAAGACGTGGCGGTGCGGGATTGAGTTTCGGTGGTGCCAGGGGTAAAACAGCGCCAGAGAGACTTGATGGATGCAAGACCCGCTGTTGTTGACTTAGCGGCAGGGGCAGGCAAAAGCAAGTCCGTCGGAAAGTTTTCAAGGGCCTTTTGGGCACGGCACAGGCACAAGGCACATCGTGGTGCAACATCGGATGAATCGGGGCCGTCGTCGACGGATGGGGAGGCAGCCGGTCACAGTTTTAGCTGAGTCTGGGACATGGAGAGTGATAAAGAGCGGCTGATGGTATTGGTAATTGTACTGTAACGTCAAGTGTGACGATGTGAGAGACAGATAGACATCCCCCGAGTCCGCGGCTATGGCATCAACTATCCGCCAAGACAATAGTTGGTGATAAATCACAGAGCCACCAGGCACACTCAACCATGTGAGACAGCGGCACAAGACTCCAGAGTATCTGAGAGCTGTGCTACGCCGCCCTGCAGCACAAAGCCGCCGCAGTGTAGGAAGAGTCTCCGGAGGCACGGACGGATGCCGCTGGTCGTGATAAGCTCAGCGCCGATCCGACCGTTTTGGAGCGATCCGCAACCGCTGGGATCCGATGCAAGCAATCCATCAAGTCCGTTGCAACTCGTTCAAAGGCGGGGACAAAACGGTGGGCGGCACGACATGGCAAAGCAAGCGCCAAGGTGAAAGGCGGGCTTTTCAGCAAAGAGACACAAGAAAAGCATTGGACGTGGAGGCTTGGGGCTTTATTGCGGCCTGTGTTGCAGAGGCTGGACGGTTGACTGCGATCCAATGCCAGCTTTGGTCATGCATTTTGTCGTCACGATCCCCAAGGTTTGGAGGTTGAAAGCACCAGCCACTGGACGGAGCAGATGTCTTGCATTCCGAGACCCGGTCGAGGGAGACGGGATGCACACGCACATACACGCACGCGAGCAAGAGGCAAGGGAGGGGGGAGGAGCCTATTGTTGTCGTCCCGATCTTGCCGTAAACCGCCTGAATGTTGCGATCCATCCAAAGTCTCGAGGGCCGTGGGCTACGCTTGAGCGGCAACCATGAAACTCTCTACGGCTCCTGCATCCAAGCTCTGGTGCAGCCCATCACGGCCGGCCCTCTCCACCCCGGTTGAACCTCAAACAGCAACGGGGTAAAATGTGGTTAGCGGGTGAAGAACAGAGTCTGGGTCATGGACTCGAGAGGCGTCGGATTCCTGCCCTTGGCTTTTTTGCAAGGCTGGATTCGAGCTTGAACGGGGTCTGGTAGCTTGGACAACACCCTCTTCAGCGAAGATGTGTGATGCATTCCTGCAGATGTCTGGATGCTGTGACGACGGAGTGAGATAAGTTGGGTGCCAACCCACGAGTTTTGACTCTGGTCGTCTGCTCGACTTGACTTTTCTCAGATTCACTTGAACCGAATCATTCATTGTCCTCTAAACAAACGTTGAAACGAAACGCTTTTTTCTCTCTCTCGAGTTTTTTTCATCTCCACCACTCCTGATCCAATCACGGACTCGGTTTCTTGCAGGTCTCCGGCTGGCCTTGTAGGATCAAATCTCCATCCATATCCATCAAAGGCCATCAAATCACACCCACACCCCGTCACGGACGCACGCACTGGGGCCGCCACGAGCAAGGGCCGGGCGGGCTTGTCTGGAGGACGCATGCCCATTTGCTGGGGGTCAAGCAGGGACACCCTTCATTTCGGGACCTCCCTCACGACCTCAGAGGCCTCTACTGGCTTGCTGCACAATTCGCACTACAGAGGCTTCGCTGTACGGGCTTGTACAGCACTATTGGATTCCAGGCCCCAGGACGGCCTGGGTCGGTTGGCTGTGGTCCCCCTCCGAGATCTCGCCATTTCCACACCTTCTTCTCAGCTCAGCTCAGCTCCATTCTGTTCTGTGGCATTTCTCTTTCAAAGCTTCTTCCCCTTCTGATTCACCTCGTTTATTGTTTTCCATTCTCCCCGCATTGCTGGACACAATCTCACTGTTGATTCGGCCGCTCTTTTTGACCAATACTCCCTTCTTAAAAAATACGAGGCTGCCCTTGCTGGACCAGGCCCGCTGTCCTCTTGGGAAAAAGGCTCTTATTGCCCCTGACTTATTTTCTCGCCCGTCAGCCGACCTGACCTGACTTGACCTTTGTCCTACCTTGCCTGGCCTCCATTGCCTTACCTTTCACCCCAGCGCCTGATCTGACCGTGACCGCGTCACGTCTCCTCTGCCGCTACTACCGCTACCGCCTGTTGTTGTCTCTGCGTAGGGACTCGATAGCCACTGTTTTTGTTGTTTCGATCGCGCCGCGCGCAAAAAGACGGGACTCTTGATCGAATCACACCACGGCCCCTAGGCCAACTCTCTCTCCACAATCGAGCGTCCTCCTGCTGCGTGGCTACTGCGGTACCTACAGCGCAGCACTGTAAGGTTAGCCTACGCTACATCCGCTGCGCCTGGGTTGCCCCTTGTCTCCGCGTTTCTCTTCCCCCCCTTCTCACCCACTGCTCGCTCACGCACGGCGGCGCATCCTCCTCTTCCCATTCCAGACCGTCCGTCCATCCAATTCAATCCTTTTCATCCATCTTACTCTTCTTCTCCCACCAAAAACCCATCCAACTTTATCCCGTGGGCTTTGATCCCCCAACTTTAGTCGCTCCTTTCTTCTTTACTGCTTACTACTTCTACTTCTCTTTATCTATCACTCCCCTCGAAAGCCAAACTCCCCCCCGACCGTCAGCCGTTATTAAAAACGCCCGCGAGGCTCCTTCGATCGACAGCCGACAGCTTCGCCTGGCCACTTGCAGCGCGCTCGAGCACAGCCTCTTCCAGCCATTCTCGTCGCTTTTCCTTGGCCGAATGCTCCGGTAGCAATCGAGCCCTAACTACGCCCAGCTCGTCAGCTAATCTACAACCCAAGAAAGCGCCTCTTGACTCCCAACCACCGACCGGCCTCCGCCAACTTGATTACCTCCTCCTTTCCTTATGCCATCATACTCGGTCACCTCGCCGTCGCTTCAGAAAATGGACAACTCGAGAATGTACGGCGGACGCAAGGGCATCCAGATGAGCAACATCCTCGGCGACCCCTTCGCCCTGGCCACGTTGTCCATTGCCATGGTGCGTCTTTCTGTCGTCAGCTCATTACGAGCGCATCGCTAACGTGTCCAGCTTGCCTGGTGCATCACCTTTGTTGCCTGCATTATCGGACGGATACAACAAACTAACGACTCGCCTTTTCCGACATTCGCCTGGTGGGGATGCATCTACAGTCTGTGCCTGATCGTCGGAGTATTTGTCGTTATTGGAAGCGACTCTGTCCATACCTACCATGTCGCTGTCACCGGTTATCTCGCTGCGGGAATTGTCCTGGTCTCTTCGGGCGTGAACCTGCTACTGTACTCTGATAGCGGTGCGCGCGAGGCTGCCTCGGCCGGCTTCATCCTGCTGGCCATGGTCATCGTAAGTAGCGTCTCAAGTCAATTGAGCGCGCGGCTAACAAACCCCACAGGTTATCTGGACCTTTTACTTCGGATCCAACCCTTCATCAACTCCCCGAGCCTTCCTCGACTCGTTCGCCCTTGCCAAGGAGTCGACCACAATTCACCGATCCACGATGAACGGCTACGGTGGTGGCGGCCGCCCCGAGACATCCAACTCTGTCCAGCCTCCCCAGATGTACACTTCTGCCCAGCTCAACGGCTTCGAGAACCCCTCCCCCGTCGGTGGCGTCTCCCAAGTTGGAGGCCGCGGCTCCGCAGTCCCTCAGAGCTTCACCAACTCGGTCATGCAACCCAAGGCGACAAACTCACCCGGAGCCGACGCCGAGGTTGTACCACCCACCGAGTACCCCTACCGGGCAAAGGCCATCTACAGCTACGAGGCCAACCCCGACGACGCCAACGAGATCTCCTTCTCCAAGCACGAAATCCTCGAAGTCTCAGACGTCAGTGGACGGTGGTGGCAAGCGCGCAAGGAGAATGGCGAGACGGGTATTGCACCCAGCAACTACCTCATCCTGTTATGAGCAACGATCCACGCAAGGATTCACTGGGATACCCGTTCGACGACCGACATCATGGCCGTCGAGCACCGTCAGACCCACGCACGGGCTGCTCGTTCATTGTTTTGTTTTATAACGTTTTAGAGTCACGACTCCGCGATTTGGTTCAGTACTGGGATGGGAAATATGTTGGATGGAGTATATTTGGGACGAAACCCCTTTTTTGACAAAACGGCCCACGGCGCTTGGCAGTTGGCTTCATTCCCTTATTTTATCTTCGAATGTCTCCTTTTTATTGTCCTCATCTCTTGTTTGTTTTCACTTCATTTATTACCCCCTTTTGTGAGTCCACAAGGATTTTGACTCGATCGACTTTGCCGACTTTGCAGGCGAAACAACGGCTGTGGCCGCTGGTGGTGCTGTATGAGAAAAAGCCAAATGCGACTGGGGATCCAAACTTGATGAGGAAATCTCGGGGTCATTGCCCGAGTCGACTGTTTGACGAAGGGGCTGTATTTGTCAATGGAATCTGGAAATGCCAGGTGCAGATATGGGCAGTACCGAGACGAGCTGTAGCTAGAATGAGGAGGGATCATGGTATCCTTTCGCCTTTGGTGAATACGACGACTATTGGAATGAAAGCTTTTCAGAATCATGTGTGAATAGGGTTCATCTGGCGAGTCTATGGATCGTAAGGTTTACGCGCGGCCATCTTGGTAGAAATGGGTATCAAATTCATGTCCCAACTGGGGGATAGCGGGTTTGGATCTTGCGCATTTCTAGCGCCAGGACGGCACGCGTCCATGAGACTCTGGCCAGCGAGTTCCGGATCAACCTAGACGCTGGCCGGATCGGCGCCATCTATCATCTTGACGTGGCCCGCTGTATGCACGGCGCCGATCTCGCTTGCGTGTCGATCCACGCGTCTTTTGGACGTGAGCGGTCTCCATCACCAGATCTCATCCTGGCCGCGTAGATCCCCTTTCCAGTGGGCACAAGCTTTTCTAGTATTCTGAGTATCCTCTCTCGGCCCGATCATCACCCCTCAAGTCGCTTCCTCAGCTCCCTCTCCTTCTGTAGTACCTCGAGCTCGAGCCTCTCAACGCCGTACCTCAGGGCCTCCTTCCTCTGCCGGACGGCCCGGGCGCGGAGCCTCTCTTCGGCGGTAAGCCTGCGGCTGCCGGAGCCGGCGCCCCTCTTGGGCTTTGCGTCAAAGTCGTCGTCGGGCCGGGCGAGGCGGCCTTGCTGTAGCTCGGCGCGGGCTTTGAGAGTCTCAATACGGCGCTCTTGACGCTCGATCTGTGAGTCGGCGCGCGCAAGGAGGAGGGCGATGTATGGGCCTATGTCATCGCGGAGGGAGGCTTCTGCGGCGGCGAGGGTAGGCTGGGGGATGAGTTCGTAGTGCTAGAGCGGTGTTAGCATTGCGTGGACGGAGATTTGGGGACGTGGTACTAACGCGGACTGTCTTGAGAACATTGACTAGACGGGGAAAGTCGGAAACTCCATTGTCGAGGGCTTCGACAGAAGACTCGAGGAACTTGAGGGATGTGCGGAGGGACGAGACGCAGTCTGAGTACGTCGCGAGGTTGGCGGCGGCCATCGTGGGGTTGTCGCGGGGTAGAGTCGGAAAGATTCACAAGGTTTGTCGAGAGCGTGGGACTATTCCGGGTGATACGACGAATGTGTCGATGTTTAAATTGCTTGGTTTGAGTTCCGCAGCGACAAGAGTGTGAGTCGAGGTTGCACTGGGGAGTATCGGGGTGGAATTGGTGATTGTTTTGATTCAACTTGTTTAGTCGTGAGCCTTGACGGACGTGATGATGTCGGTGCACAGGCCAACTGCCAGGGGTCGAGAGCCAGGTGGGGCTGGCTCTTTATTTGAACCTCCATGAACTTCAACCATTCTTTGGCTTTGTTTCTCTCTCTTCCGATAATCATTCAATAATCTCTTCCAATTCTGGGCGAATACTATACTTCTGTCTCTTTCGGACTCAACGGGGAAGGGCAAGCTACATCATGTTTGCATGCTGAGTTAGAATTACACCGATCGCTGTGTTGACAAGGTCCTAGATTTCATTTTATGTGTCACTAGTGATGACCAGCCACATCGATATTGTGAGTACTGGTTGAATGATTGTTGTGTCTACTCCGATATGTCATTCTGTGGCGAATTTCAGGTTGCAAACGTATGTCCCCATTTATCTGCCTGGGCATCTTCAACCTTGCATGTCTTGGGACCTGTTCATGGTCTCCAAGATGACTATACTTGATCGTCACTTTCTACTGTAGCTTGAAATCATGCTGTATTGCGTTTGATGAAAATTTTTAGCCCACAGAGCCCTAAGTTAAACTCTTGTTAGTACTTGGCCTGGAGTTCTTTGATTCCGGTGCAACGGACGATCGCCCAAACATGGTCTAGGTTAGCTTTTGTCTTTCGAAGATGATATTTGTTCTTCTCTTTTAATGACATCTTGGTCGTACATGAGATCCAAGAACACAACTATAAGTATCTGGCAGCATTAAAACCTAACGCTGTAAAACACCGTAAGGGTGATATCTGTAAAGGTGGGTAGTGTACTCACAGCGTGATTACCAGAATATCAGGGTACCAGAGATGTTGATGAAAAGGCGATGTTTTTCTAAATAAAGGGACCCCTCGCCGAGTTTCGTTTTCTAGCAAAGTAAGAGTGCCCAAGGGCTCCTTTCTTTGGAATTCATCTTGCAGCGTACTTGTTCAATAAATAATGAGTCGAACCTATGCCTGACCTTAGGTTGCTCTACTCACTATTACCTCATCACCTCATCCAAGGGTTCTCTAACTCTTGCATAAACCAGCCGCACATAATCACTAATACCTGACGGCCTAGGCGTATTCCAAGCTTAACTACCTATGCTGTACAAGTGGGAGCGAATATACTGCCACATTAGCAAGATGAGGAGCTAGAAAAGCCAGAAAAGCCAAAGAGTAAACCGTATTATAAAAGTTGAATAGAATGATATTAAAACATACAACTATCATACAGAGAAATACCAGAAATAGACGAGACCAAAAACCTATACCCTATAAACAAGGGCACATCATTTAGTGTCAAGAGTATCCCGCGGCGCCCAGAGTCATCCATCAATAGCCACTTCAAAATGTACTCCCCTACTCCTCCGTTGGCACCACTTCCTCCTCTGTCTCCTCCAATCCGCCCAAATCCCTCTGAACTGTCAAATGTTGGAGGAGTCCTTTGGCCTTGAGGAGACTGAATGGAGTCTCGCCGGCTGCATTCTTGGCATTGATGTCAGCGCCATGTTCGACAAGTTTCATCACCATTTTGACGATGTTGAAAATCCTATCCGCGATATAGACCTTGCGCAAGTGCTTTAGGTGCTGGTATTTGACCTCCGAGGACACCACTCTGTGAGTTCGCGCGGCGAATAGGTGGATTTGGATCATCTCTAGTATTTCGTCCGAGTACTCAAAATCTCCGCCGTATTTAGGAGCCAGCCGTTGCTAACGGCTCTCGTCTGCTAGCCTGGGCGTGATGGAACATATTCGGTGTAGAAGCGTATTTCCTTCGATGGGATCGACTGCTGGCAGACCTTCTGCCGTGAGGATATCGACCATCTTGAGAGTAAGGTCCAGGGTTCCAAACTCGAGGTAGTCCTTGCATCGAGAAGGACTGAAAAGCGCATCGAGACATGATGCCTTGCCGCTGGGATCCGTCATGCTCATTGCCCAACAAATAGGGGGGGCTATGTCCACAACCACCTTCATGTCATGGGAGTAGAGGTTGTCGATAGCCCATTTCAGGACGCTCTCTCCGTCAGGAGTGTAAAGGTCGTCAGGTAATTTCATATGACGGAAGAGTTCTTTGAGCTTGCCCATGCGGCGTTCCCAAGAAGTCATAGCAAAGTAGTGACGGAAGGCGACAAATCCCAGCGCAATGTGACTGGGTCTGAGTAGATAGAGGTCAAGAGATATGTATAACCCTTCCTGTTGTTCCTGGGCTCGCGGGAATCCCTGCAAGATGCACTGGAGGACGTTGACCTTGGGAGATGACGGGAAGAGCCGCCCGGTTCGACTGACGTCTGCGCCGTTGTCGATGAGAGTCTTGAAACGCTCTGGCATGATCATGTCGCTGGTAGCAAACATCAAAGGGGTGAAACCTTCTTCATGAAGGGAACGCCCATCGATGTTGCACGCCTCGAGTAAGTGTGGGCTGATCTGTTGCTTATCCAACCCCATATCACTCGTTTCCCGGACCCAGAGGCTTCTGGTTCTGCAGACGCTGAGGGCGAGAGGGTGCAAACTGGTGTCGTCTGTGAAATTCGCATCTGCTCCGAGACGGATCAGCTCCCCGATGGTGCGTTGGGTCCCGTCACGTATGGCGAGGGTTAAGGGATATGCCTTGCCCACAAGGGGCTTGTTCAGGGGGAACCCAGCCTTGACGAATGCTTCAAGATAACGATATCTGGCCATGTCCCCGTATTGATATCCCATTACCACACCGAACAGTTGATTGGCAAGGCCTGGGCTTATGAGTCGTATGAATGCCTCCCTCGATTCACCACTCTGGTCCTCAATGCCGAGTCGGTCACTCTCAACCAGCAGCTTGACAATTTCCTCACAATCGTTTGCCAAGGCCAGATACAAAGGGCCACCTGTAAAAGTAGTGTTCAAGAGGAATCTTCGACTGTGTTGTCGTCGACACCGTGCCCCTTTGCTGATCAGAAACTCCACAACTCTGAAGAGTTGTTCACCCGAAGGATCATAGGCCAGACTGTGTGCGAGGAATACCTCCAGAGGTGTATACCGAGTGTTGGCGGGATCATTGATGGCGTCGGGGTCTGCCTTTACCAGTAGCTCTGCAGCCTCGACGGATCGTATATGGCTTAGAGCTGATCGATGCTTGTAGAGTCGGGAATCCCAGGGCATGATAGTTCCAGGAATGACGACTCCTTTCTTCTCGACAACATGGGCACCATGGTCGAGCAGGATCTGTATGACTGCAACACTGTTCGATCTTGTTGCGAGGACTAGCGCTGAGACTTCCTCAACCTCGTGCCCATTCTTTGGGTACATGACGTGACGTCGGCTACTGTCGTGCTCGCAAAGAGGTTCGAAATAGGGCCACCCGGTCTTGGCAGCATGACTTGCCCTCGCCTCGGAGGTCTTTCGAGAACCAGGTTTTCCACAGGTGCAGAAGTAGGTGTGTGAACTGACCCCCTTTTCAAGAATGTACTTGACAAGGTCCGCATTATCGTTGTCACAGGCCCAGAAGAGTGCGTTACCTGTCTCTGAGGCTATGTCTTGTCCGATCATGAAGTCCTTGAAGATTCTGTGCAAGAAACGACAGGCAGATCCCATCGCCAGAAGGTCCTCCGTAGGAAGATAGGTAGCTAAGTGTACCAAGATTTCGTTAGGGCAATCGACGAGTAGGGACTTGGTCGCCTGCGGGAGACTGGCTAGGAGACTGTCAGCATTTGATTCAACGAGGAGTAGATGAGTTTTTGCTTTGATTTACCAGAGACCTGAGGCGCCCCATCGCCTTCGTTTTCGGGGTTTTCCATGAGAACAGAGTCCCAAGATGAGTAGCGAAAGTGTAGGCAGGCTAAGGATAGCGAGGAGTGCGAAGGGCGGTTTGGATCGAGCTGGAGAAAGGCTGCCTCTAGAGGAGATAGGTAGGTTGGAGAGATAACGATCTGGTGATGTCGGAAGAGGATAGGATAGAACACTTCCAACCAGACCTATGAGGCCATCTCCTCCTTGGACTGGAACACCCGATGTGAAGTGAGTTAAAGGGAGAATTTGCGAGAGAAACGCAGTGCGATCGGGGGAGGGGGTTAGGAGGGGTCAGAGGTGAAGTGGCAGAAAGGAAAGGAAAGCATTGAGAATTCCGGTGGGACTAAGCGAGCCCAGATAAAAAACAGTTAGCTCGCAGCCTGGTATCAAGTTTCTGGCGCCCCCATTAGTGAGCCAGGCTGCTATGAATCAGGGACAGTGGCACATATCAACCAACTGTCGGCCGACTACTTTCTGGCACTGACAATCTGTTATGGCAGCCACCTGAGATTCCGCATTCTCTTTGATACGCATGTAAATATACGCAAGATCGAGTAATCTATATGCTTTGAAAATTTTCAAATATTCGAAATTCCTTGTTATGAAGCGTGCAGATGCTGACAGCATGGAAGTGACCAGAGCCTCGCTAGGTACCTTGCATACAGCAACATATTTCGGAAAACAACCAAATGTCTTGTACAATGATTTTTTATGTAGCCATTGTTCATCACAGATGGTCCTGCAAACGAAGCTATGATCCTCGAGAGCAAAATTAGAGGCCCATTCTCCAACCCCCGAGCATCCGTTGTTTCCACGCATATTTAGACAATTATGCGCTTTGTCCATTTTCTTCTCTGAAGGGCGGAGCAGGTTTTCTTTAAGACTGTGTTTGGCGCATCGAAATACTGTCTGGAACGCTGTCGCAAAATCAAACAAGCCCATCTAGCAGCCGTTCTTTATTCACGTCTTGATGTCTCGAGAACCTTTCATCACGGAATTGAAAAACGCTGGCCATTCGATGCTAAACGCCCTCTATATACGACATAAACGATGTTAATGACCACAATCAATGTCAAGGATGCCAAAGCAACGAGCCGTGAGGTTGTAAGTCAAGTCACGTGCACTCTCAACTGGATGACGAAGGCCCCGGAACCGGTCCCACCTAATTCCAGCCCCAGCCTTGGTGGTGGGTGGAGACGCGCGACAGGCAGGAGCCTCTTGCGTGAGCCTCGTCACTAAAGTGACCAGCTTCCTTCGACCAAACAAGGCCCCACGACCTACGATCAATCACATCAACTCCATCCACGAATCCCAGATCTCGTCGCCTCACCACGAGCTTGCTCTACCGAATACCTCTCCTGTGGACAATACTGCGCGCTCCCCGTCATCATGTCTGAAGGAGCTTTGAAGCCCGAGAAGGACTTCTCCAAGGAGGTCGACCAGCAGCTCCCCGAAGCTGAGAAGCTGGCTGAGGTTGGTGCCCCAGCTCTGCATCGTCAGCTGAAGCTTCCACTAACTCCAAGTATAGTCCAACAACCTCCAGGGAGCCATTGAGAAGCTCGCTGCTCTTGAAAAGCAGACCCGACAAGTATGTCTTGCGCCCTTGCTCCCCATCCCCGCTAACCCAGACGCCAGGCCTCCGATCTTGCGTCGACATCACGAGTATTGATCGCAATCGTCACACTATGCAAAAATGCCGGCGACTGGAGTTTGATGAACGACCAGACCTTGGTCTTGTCCAAGAAGCACAGCCAGCTCAAGCAGGCCATCACCAAGATGGTCCAGACCGTCATGGGCTTCCTCGACGACACCCCCGACCTCAAGACCAAGCTTTCCGTTATCGAGACCCTGCGAACAGTGACAGAGGGAAAGATCTTTGTCGAAGTCGAGCGTGCCCGCGTCACCAAGACCCTTTCCGACATCAAGAAGGAGCAGGGCGATCTCAAGGCTGCCACCGAGATCCTTTGCGAGCTTCAGGTTGAGACCTTTGGGTCTATGGACAGACGGGAAAAGACCGAATTCATCCTCGCTCAGGTCGCTCTCTGCATTGAGAGTGAAGATTGGACTCAGGCTGGCATCCTGGGCCGCAAGATCAGCACACGATACCTCGCCCGAAAGCCTAAGAAGACGGCCGAGCAACTTGAGAAGGAAGAGAAGGAGCGTGAGAAGAAGAAGGCCCGCGGCGAGGAGGTGCCTGAGGAGAAGCCAGATGACACAACCGACCTGAAGCTGCGATACTACGAGCAACAGATCATCCTTGCCAAGCATGAGGACAAGTACCTTGATGTTTGCAAGCACTACCGACAGGTTTTGGATACAGAGGCGGTCGAGGAGGATTCGGCCAAGCTTCGCCCTGTAAGTTCTTGAACTCTTATATGGATTCATTCTCTAACCTCTTACAGGTCCTCCAGCGCATCATCTACTTTGTCATCCTCGCCCCCTACGACAACGAGCAACACGATCTCCTCCACCGAATTCACAAGGACACCCGCAACACAGAAGTTCCTCCTGAGGCTGAGCTTCTCCGACTCTTTACTGTCCACGAGTTGATGCGATGGCCAGAGATTGCTAAGAGATTTGGCCCCCACCTGTGCAGTACGGATGTCTTTGATGTGCAGCCCGGTCAGTCTAAAGACGAGAAGGCGCACCAGCGATGGCAAGATCTCCGAAAGCGAGTCATTGAGCACAATGTCCGCGTCATTGCCAAGTACTACACTCGCATCCAGATGGGACGCCTCACCCAACTGCTCGACTTGGCTGAGGATGAGACGGAAAAATACATCAGCGAGCTGGTCACCTCCAAGACTGTGTACGCCAAGATTGACCGACCTGCACGAATCGTCAGCTTTGCGAAGCCTCGGGATGCTGATGATATTCTGAACGAGTGGAGTCACAACATGAAGAGCTTGTTGGGACTCTTGGAGAGAATCGATCATCTCATCACCAAAGAGGAGATGATGGCACGGATCCAGCCGGCTAAATAGAAACTCGGAGTCAGGATAGAGCGGTTTACAATTCATGACGGTTTGGGTGGTCTGTAATTATACAGGTTAGATAGGCCTCGGGATGAGGATATGTAACATGGCACTTGATGCATGAGTCTATCCGTTTGTCTATTGCAGTCTATGGTCTGGTGTAAGTTTATCATGATGTCTATAGGTCCGCTTTAAGCTCCTTCTCTTCGGCATGTTGCTTAATGAAGCCAGCCAGGGGCATTCCCCATTCCTTGTTGACGGGTACATGATGGCCTCCTGGGTGAACCATGACAAGAGGCTCCTCACAACGATCCACGAGAGCCTGACTGCGGCTCTCATCCACAACTGTGTCGAGACTGCCGAGGTAGTGCAAGGTAGGGGTCTTGATCTTGGGCTCGAAGCAGAACTGGAGGGAATCGGGTGTTGCCCAGAAGCCCGAGTAAAAGACACCAAACTTGAGAGGCTTTCCATCGTTGGCTTCTCTCAGTCCTCTTGCCCAGTCACCCTCCTTGCCCTCGGGCAGTGGCCGCTCCGGCTCTAGTGCTGCAGCAACAAGAGCGGCCATAGCACCGCCCTGACTGAAGCCACCCACAGCGTCAATACCGCCCGCCTCACGGATCGCCTCAGCGACAGTTGCCATGCCCTCATCCAGAAGACGATAGTTGCCCGTAGCCTCGTCCTTGCGCCACCAAGCCCAGGTGTCGGGCTGGTAGTCCTCGGCAGGGGGTTCCTCTGGTGGTTGATAACCCGGGATGTCCTCCGCACTCAGACGGTTGGGAGCAGTGGCGTAGATGAGAACTGGGAGGAGAGAGATGGGGTTGAGAAGCTTGACGAGGAGCTTCTCAAGGGCGCGAGTCTTGGCACGGAAGAGAGCACCAGATTGTGTGAAGCCTGAGATTGTGAGCATATGGTCAAAGAAAGTGAGTGCGAGTGTCCAGGGTAGTGTGCCGTCCAAGACGAGCTAAACGCCCAGGGACATTCTATGTAACCGGAATAACACTCACCATGAAGCATCAGAATCTTGACCTCCTTCTTAGCCCCCTTGCCGTTGGGCTTTTGTTGTTTCGCCCCATTGGGTCCCGACGTGGCCGTCATTGTCGATAAGCAAACTCTTGAGTGAAAAGCTGAAAGACGTCTAGTCGCAATAGGTCTAGTGATGGACAAGACTCCAAAAAGCAGACGCATCTATATATGTCAAATGTTTAAAGTTTGTTGCAAGGGGGCTTCGCCGTGTGAGTCGACGGAGAGCGATAGCGATGATTTGTCAGGATGAGATTTATCTAGAATCTTTCAAGGTTCCTATCTCGGGCCGCTACACGACTCGGATCACGTTTGATCCCCACCAAAAGTGAACCGTGGTTAAGGGTCTTTCGGATATAGTTTTTGACTGCAATGCGGCTCAATGGACTATTTGGACTGCATACTAGTTTACCTGCTATTGGAACATGCAAGTTAGAGTATTACGTGAGAGGAGGTAGACATCTTGGGATCAGATAACTGGTACCTAACATGACTCCTCTATCGCCAAACGCCATGCGGAAATACGTCACCAATTTGCATGTAAACAAAGCTGTATAGTTAGCAATCATGGCCAATTGAGGCATTGAACCACCTGGGATATTCGTGATTCAATCATCTGGCAAGTTCGGACCTCCGGAGCAACGCGTTCACGATCCCAATTGCACCCATCACATCCGGCACCCGCGTATATCGTTCGATAGGTCAATTAAGCCCCTTTTGCGACTCTATGATACAATCCCATCTCATCTCATGGACCCTGGCCTCGCGCTCGGGCGGATCTTTCATGCAGTTGCTTTGACGAAATCCCATCTCCTTTCAATCCGTTTGGACCTTAGTGACCACCAGTCTTGGCGTTGGGGTTGCGAGGGTCGTTCTTGAACTCGGCGGCTAGTACTCTTGTCAGTCGTCGCATTCTGAGGGGATTTATATTCCATTGGGGGGAGTCGTACAGTTCATCATGGCGGTCTGGGCAGAGTTGACACCGTAGGCAATGACAACACCTGTATCCTGAATCAATTGCTGTTCCAAAACTCATCGAAGAATCAATCGGAGTCGGGCGCGTGGGGGAATGCTCGTCGAGGGACTCGTTTCGTCGGGCGAGCTGCGCAAATTGACGTACCGGCAGCGAAGAAGGGCCAGTAAGGCTTCACTATTCGGGGGGTCAGCGGGACACATAGAGCAAGGGCGCAGGCGCAATTGGACGTACAGAAGGGAGCGTTGAACTTCTTGAGGGGCTGAACACCGAGCCAAGACATGATGACGGATTCGTGGGTATCGTGCGAGGTAGAGGTTCGGGTTGATGGGAGTTTCGGCAGGGTGCTGCTTTGAGATTGATTGAGAGTCTTGAGAACGAGCCTTTTTCCGAACGGCAGACCCAACAAGCTCCGAGCGGGTTCTGCCGAAGCCGAGCCCGGAACGTTTTCTGGGTGCCTGGATAGTTGCCTGAGATTCAAGGTGTCAAGATTTGGAGGCTGAGGGTACGTACCTCTGCGGGGCCATGCGAGCTGCTTCCCCACCCCGGCAACCGCAGAAACCAATGCACCGAACCCCGCGTTTCCAAGACCACGCTAAGCATTCACACGTGATGGCAACCTTGCAGGTGACATCATCGGGAATAGAGCTCCAGCTCCATCAAGCTCCCCAAGCTTTAAGAAGGGGAGGATACGTACTCGAGTCACACTCCAACTCAACTCAAACCTTCCCGCCCAGTCTTGTCTTGTCTCCTCAAATTCAGCCTATTCTCTCTCTCCTCTCCCCTTGTCTTTTTGTCTGTGCGACACTCAAAAGGTCTCGTCATCACCTCAAACAAACACAAACAGAAAGTGCGGGGTGATTATACACCTGTACAGTACATTCCTGGCACGGTAACCCGAGCGCCGTTCCGTCCCTCCAACTCCTAACCATCCATCCAATCTGTCCCCCGGCTTTTTCTAAAAACCCTTTTTTGCAAGGGCAAGCTTGAAAAATACTGTGCCTTCCCGCTCCTGCTGTGCCCTCCAGAAACTCTTGGGTTGCCACCAATTGTTACCCTGACGCCGACAAACCAGCTGCTGCCGCTACCTTGTCTTCTGCTTCTGCTTCTGCCTCCCGCCATCTTGAAACTCCATCTTCGGTCCATTTTCCTCCTTTGAGCATCTTCCCCCGTCTTCTCGTTCGATTTTTAAGATCTTCCAAAACCAACGTCTGCCTTTTTGACGTTGACACCATTTGAGAGATCGTCATTCTTCTTCCTCCAACTGCGCCCGTGTCATCTTTGCCAGACACGCGTTGCGCCTCCATCATTCATACTTTACCCGTACATTCCAAACTCTCAACATCCAAGATGCTGAGTCGCCAATTCGCACGCGCCGCCGCCGTCACCCCGCGTGCTGGCCTGCGAGCTCTCAGCTCTACTGCCGCTCGTCTGGATGCCCACACGCCTTCCATGGGAGACGTCAACCCCTCGCGCGCCGCCGTCGACACGTTCAACCAGAAGCAGAAGGCATTCCGCGAGCACCTGGTCGAGGCACAGAAGGAGCGAGAAGCCAGTGAGTTGTCTGCCCACCAGCAATCTGCTAACGTTCCGTTCGCCAAGCCGGACGAGGGCTTACAGAAGGACGACGCAGGACGAACCGCAGAGGTCAAGGAGCCAGAGCCCTCCCGCAAGGCTGGGCCTCTGACGAACCTCATCTACGGCACAAAGGAGGGTCGTGAGCTTGACGCTCAGCTCGAGGCGAGCTTCAGTCAAGTTCTGGCCCGTGGCAAGTATGTCCACTCGATCGTCTTTCACGAGGTCAAGCCCGAAAAGGTGGACGAGTATGTCGACCTCGTGGGACACTGGTACCCCAAGATGGCCAACGCTCCAGAGAACAAGGTGCATCTCGTTGGTAGCTGGAGGACAGAAGTCGGCGACTGCGACACGTTTGGTATGCATCTCCCAATTCCTTCTTTCCAAAGCCGAGGTGCTGACTGAATGCGCGGGGTAACAGTTCACATCTGGGAATATCAAAAGTACGAGGGCTACCACCAGTCCCGACACTCCATCACACACCACCCCGAATTCGCCGAGTTCGATCGCAAGCTCAAAGGCATGATCAACTCCAAGAACATCTCGCTGATGCAGGAGTTTTCCTTCTGGCCGACCACCCCTCCACGACAGCTCGGTGGCGTCTTTGAGCTGCGGTCTTACACACTGCATCCCGGCAACCTGCTCGAGTGGGAGACGCACTGGCGACGAGGCCTCAAGGCCCGACGCGAGGTCATGGAGGGCGTGGGTGCTTGGTTCGTCCAGGTTGGCGATCTCAACACTGTCCACCACCTGTGGCAGTTTGCCAATCTCGAGGAGCGCCGTGCCCGCCGTGAGCAGAGCTGGCAGGTTGAGGGCTGGAGCGACACTGTCCACAAGACGGTTCCTCTGATCCAGAGCATGAAGTCGCGGGTTCTCATTCCCATGCCTTGGTCTCCCGTGGCCTAGACGCCCTGTTTGCGGCTGCTGGCAGGCTCCTGATGGAGTGTCTCAGCCAATGGAGCTTCGTCATGTCGAATCGGACCCGGGCGACTCGACAATGTCTTTTTGCACGAGATTAGAGGTCATATCGTTCATGTTCTATGCATAATTCCTTTGTACTGTGTCATTATTGTGTGTTTCTACGGACTTAGCGGAGGAGCGACGGAACCGGACCATGAATTGCATCCATGTACAGGTGTCATCTACAGTTCTACAGATTCAGTCAGATCAAGTCAGATCAGATCAAATGGAACTTGAAATCCAGACAATCATGCCCAACGAACAAATTGGTGCCGATTCCAAATGCCCACCAAGGAAGCTCAACAGTGAGCTACAGGGGTCACAGTAGCCACTTTCACCAAAACGCCAGGGTATCCAATCAATTTACATGCAAGCCTGCTCACATGGCCTCCCCCTCAATTCAATGCTCCTACGAGTCGACGCTGAGCACCTCTGACAGATTCCTCCGCGCCTGGCCGAGCATGTGACTGAGGAAGCCGAGCTTGGAGTGCAGGGAGATGAGGCTCGGATCTGCACTTTCGACGCGCACCTTTTCCCGGACATAGACTTCCTGCACATCCTTGCTCTCCACGTCGGCTGCCGACGATCTAGGCTCTGGGGTATGGCGCGCACTGCCCCGCTTGGAGCCCCCGGCATCGCTCCCCATGGTATTGTACCGGAAAACGGTGTCCATCTCGTCGTGTTCCAGACGACGGAAGGTTCCGATGGCAAGGCCGAGTTTAGTTCCAAAATGGACGGGTGCATCCGCGGGTTCTAGAGCGCGCAGCCAGAGCACGATGCAGCTCTCCTGCAGGCCGAGATAAAAGCTGAGGTTGGGCCCTAGAGAGGGCTCAAAATGGTACGACGGACATGAGCACGTCTGCCAAGCAGGGTCGGCATCTGTCAGAGGGGGACCCTTGAGGAGTGCCACCGAGTCGGAGAGGGAGTCTGCGAGGATGGCGAGTGTGGAAGCGAGGTCGCGGGCGTCCTGCGGCTTGGATAGGGTGATGGAGAGGAGATCAATGGATTGGTTTAGGTACGCATTCAACGAATCGAGAGCCTGGATGTGAATGACGTCGGACTGGGAGAGCGACAGCGTCTGGGCGGGTATCGTTCGAAGCTGGAGATGGAGATGCTGGGGGGAGCTCAAAACGTCAGCTTGCAGGAAACGAGGCTGAAAAAGTGTGTGGGGAACAAATAGGCTCTTCTTACCCCTTTGACGATTCGAGTGCCGACGCGGGTGAGCGTGCCCTTTACTTTTTCGTTGCGATGCGTGCTCATGACGAGGGTGCTCCCCGGGTCGATGGGCGCGAGGAGCGCATAACAGTCCTCGAGGCCATGCTTGAGATCGCGACAGATCTGCAGCGTCTCCTCGACGATCCAGTCCAGCTCGCGCGCCTTTTCAAGATAGATCAGCATGATGTGTGCTTTCCTGTCCTGCGCCTCGTGATCTTTCTCCCTCTTGCGCTTCCGTATTTCCTCGTCATCGTACCTGGGTCTCGGCGGCTTTAAGCCTGAGTTCGTCGGGGGAGATGGAAGGCCAGATTGCAATCGACATGATGGATGGACGGCGCCTAGTACGAACAAGTGCCTGAGTAGGCAGCCATGAGATCGGGGGGAGGGGGATAAGCGGCGGTCGTTTGGGATGAGGTTTCGGTGGAGTGATTGCTTGATGGTGAGCGAGTTGGAGATGGAGGAATGTCCCGAAATGGACTGAGCTTGGATGGAGCTTCGAATTCGAGTGACGTTTGGTAGCGGGCCGTTGGCGCAGTAGTGCAGGGGCATCAAGGCAGCTGCGCCACAGCAATTGTGGCGCACAGAAAGAGAGAGTATTGCTGTTGGAACCGGGACATGAGAAAGATGTTAAAGGTAGCTGGGCCTTAAAGAGATTGATAATTATTACTGAGATTATCTATTTACTTTGTAGGTTTAACATGGTAGATATACTCTTATGATGGTTGTGTAGCCATGCATTCGAGAGTGGGGTGGATCAAACTTTCAACCTCCAAACTGTGAGAACCTCAACTCATCTTCTCTCACTCAAAAACACTTTAAAGGCGCACATCAATAGTCCCCCTTAGGCAACAGGCGAATCATACAGTCAGACGTGAGGAGTCAATCATTGAGATTTCCTCGAGTCGCTGAATGCCGATCCGTTGAACCATCTCCAAAATCTCGTCTGCCTACGGTCCTAGGCAACACACGCTCAAGGCAAAATCGACATCATGGCCTCAAAAGAGACTAGCAAGGCTTCAAAGAAGACATATGGGACTTTGGAAAAGCTGCCTTCTATCACAACGGGTATGAATCACTACCGTATCTCACAAACCTGTGACTAACTTGCCTAGGTTCCCGTGTTGAGAAACGCCCCCTTACCAGGCGTCAACCACCAGCATCATCCAAGTCCCGTATCATCTACGTGTCTTCAAAATCACCATTCATGTCCGTAGTCAAGCGTGCGCGCAAGCAACTTGACGCCTCTCTACGGACTGCCAACGCAGCCCCCAAGCACGCGTCGGTACACTCCCGTATCGAGGCTCTTAAGCGCGCCGGCGGGTCTGATGCCGACAGTGCCGAAGTAAAGGTCATGGGCACGGGACGAGCGGTTGAGAAGACCCTCGCTGTAGCTAGTTGGTTTGAACAAGAGGGCGACTGTGAGGTTGAGATCAGGACCGGGACGGTTGGAACCGTGGACGACGTGGTGGTGGAGGGGGACGAGGAGGACGAGAACCGCTTGAGGAAGCTAAGCTATCTCGAGGTCTCGATTAAACTCAAGTGAGTTTCCGCGGATATATTTGGAAGGTTACAGATATGAGGTGTGTCGCGTGCCGACGTAGCAGTGAGTGCACATCCACCCCTTTACTTGACTTTGCTGACTTTCCACGTATTTAGGCGCTATCAAAGGAAGCCGAGTCGGAATGCGCGGATATGTAACTTGGCCCACCAGAATATGGCGCTGACGGTATCGAACATTGTTATGGCCTCAGTCAGCATCAAGGACGTTTCCGTGGATAGGACGGACCGCCGGTAGTCCGGAAGATCCGAGTCCAGGTTGCTGTGCTGATATGAATAATCGACCTCCGATGGTGTTCGGTGTATGGATATGTCATGGAGTACTTCGGTATGGGTCTGCTGGATCATGGGGGCGGGCCTTAACACCGGTTGGTTCATGGTGGTCATTGGGAACGACGACGAGTATGAGGACCATTGCATGCTTGGCTCGACCAGACCTCCTTCCTTGCTAGGCAGTTGGGTACCAGCACCCTCGGAGTTTCGTCCGTCCACGGTCGAAGACTAACGGCATAACGCCGACGAGCATGATGGAGTTGCAATCCAGCTTCGCGCTGAGTGTAATATTGACCAGAGCAATCGTTCCATCGTGAACCCAAAGAAACATTAAATAAAACCAACAAAAAAAAAGAGTATCAACCAAAAAGTCCCTTGACCGCTCTGCGCCGCTGAATGCACCCGTCCATTTCATTCCTTGTCCTGTCCATTTGCCGGCCGGTCAAAGCTGACGCGGGTTTTTGTCAACACCAACAACTCCAGGCTCCAGGATCCAGCCAGACCAGGCAAGACCCTATGCAATGCTAATCGACACAAAGTTTTTTCAAAAGAAGGCTCGCTTAAATCGTTCATGTCACGCGGTACGCACTGGAGGCGTCATTAGTATACGAGTCATCGTGGCTAAGGGAGTAACTTACTCAATAACAAGGTGCTCGCCACGCCAGGCACCACTGGCTACCCACAAGCCGCAGTTGACAATCTCGGCATATCTCTTGTCCGAGGTCTTGAATGTCGCAAACATGCGGAATCCGTAGCGGCGTGGGTCAATGTCCTTGGGGGCACGAGGGCTCAGCAAGGTGTCGAGGATATCTGAGGGACCAGAGAGGGAACCACGGGTGCGCATTTCAAGGCTGTTTGTTTTAGTTAGCAAAGACACTCGGATAGATAGATACAATACACTTACACCGCTGGTTGCTCATCACTCGTCTGAATGACAAAAGCACCCTCTACAAGCCTCATGGGGCGAAAGCCGCGTGCCTGGCCTAGATCATAACCGCCTGCCTATACGACCCACACAGAGAATCCTCACCAGTCAGCCATGAATAGGACAGAAGCGTGCAGAATCAAATCGTGAAGAGTAAAAGAAAAATGGAGAAACTCACAATGACGCGGCCGTGGCCAAACGAGCCGGACCACACTCCGGCGGCGACGGTCGTGATCTCCTTGGTGTTGCCAGAGTCGACGTGGACGGGTTCCTGGTTTAGACGGACGGCGATGCGAAAGTCAAAGTCGAGGGCCGGCATGGGAAAGGCGAGACCAGGGCATGGAAAGTGATTGAGGGATCGTTGACAGGCCTCTTCGACAGTTCTAAAACAAACCAGAGCAGAGTCAGTAAAAAGGGTTATTCATCATCATCTCATATATCGGCATAGTTGACTTACTTGCCGGGTCCCTCTCGGCACTCCCTCTCGGCCTGGACTCTATACAGCAAACCACCATCATTGAAACATCCGCTCCCGCTCCCGCTGCCAGATGTCCCGACGCTGGTTCCCGGGCCACAGTTGAAGGCGGGCGATGGGCTGGTTGGCGCGGCGCAAACCTTCTGAGGGCTCGAGAGTGGGTGTATCGTGGTATCCCACTCGGCGTTGGCGTGGGCGTGGGCGGGTGCGCCCTGAGGGTGACAGGGCGAGGGTGGGAGGAACGGAGCCGAGTTGGGCATGCATGTCGACTCGGAGACGTCGGTGGGCGCGGTGCTCGTGGGTAATGAGAAGGACAGTGTATCGGTTTCGGTAGCCATGATTTGATGTTGTCGGGATGAGATTCGTGTAAGAGACCTGAAGCTGTAGACGCTCTCGGCTGTCTTGTAATGTCCTTCAGTGGTCGGGTATTCGCGGGTTCAGGATATCATCGAGTAGTTGTAGTTATCGTCGGACAAAGTATAAATGGTTAATCTCTGATTGATCGGTTGAAATGTCGCTTCCTTATATCAATCGGGTTCTGGTGGCGGCTCCCGTGCAAGTCGGAACGCGGGCTTTATAAGAATCGAGACGTTGTGTAAGCGGCGGGCCGCCGGTGGAGGTACTGTCGCAATCCCCGAACCTCCGATGGATGATTTAGATTTTTTTAGAGTTGTCGAGGACGCGCCCAAGCAATGACAACCGAAGTCTTGTTGAATTTTTTGGTGGGAAATGTGTAATGTGCGACTAGGATAGGAAAGGGTAGAGCACGCAAGAGGGAAACAAGGCCAAGCAAGGTATTTAAACCAAAAAGCAAGGCTCGTAGGCCAGCGCGGATAAGAGCATCCATCCATCCCATCCCATCCATCCATTCATGGGATCCATCCCGTCCAGGCCGGGGTTCGGGTCGGGTGTGGACAGCGGCGCATCACATAATACAGCACACTCATTGAGAGCGAGCGCGAACACAGACGCTACGGCTACGGGCTACGGCTACACAAGGGCGTGGGTGTGGGCGCGCCCATGGACGGACAGAGAGGCTTGCCTGGGCTGAGCTGGTCTGGTCTAGGTCTCGTCTCCAGCTCCTTGGATTGGACTGTCCAGGTCAATTTTTTGTCATGCTTGCAAATCTCCGAAGCGAACGGACAAGCAGGGGAACCACCCTGCGCGTTTACCTACCTATGACATGGACGGCTCCATCATGGACCCTACGGATTTACAGAACCTTGAGGCGACGGACACGGGAACGCCCAGGCTCTACTAAGCAATAAATGGCAGCGCCTCTCCGGCGCTCGCTGCACCTGTTCGAGCCCATATCCGCGCGGGTTTTAGAGGACGAGCCCCGGACGAAACAGTGGGTTAATCGCCGATCGGGGCGGGGCCCGTAAGGGACCCGAGGATGCGGACGCCGGGGGAGGAGGGGGTTGTGTGTGTTTGTAATTCCATTCCAGATCCAGAGCAGCTTACAGACCGAATCTGGGACAAAAAGAGTACAACTATTTCCGAAATCCTATCCCCTCTTCAGTCTAAGCCCATGCTGCAACAAGAAAGTCAATGCTTAGTGGGCTGTAGCTGTAAATTGCAGCTCCTACTGCAACTCTTGGGAGTTACAGGGCTTAAGTCCGCTGATGAAGCGGGGCTCCTCTCCTCCCTCACCTTTCGGCATCCTCGGACAATCAAGAGCCGCCGAGTCCGTGTGTGTGTGGCAAGTATTATCAAGATTGTATTTCGCTCTCGCTTTTCTTGCCAAGATTAGATTATGTTTTGTATTACCTACAGGAATAGTAGAGTAAACTTGATAATGTCACCGAACCCCGATCTCCCTAGGTCTCACCGTCCCGTGAGCGGGAAACGAGCAATGTCCGCGCTGACGGAGTCTTTTGCTCTGTGTAAGGCGGCGCGCGCGCCACGAAAATACATCCGTGGAAAGCTTCCGGGGCTGACAAATTGGGGGTTTAACATGACACTCCAACTGGAGATGGATGCAGCTGCTAACGTTAGGGGCACTCGTTGGCACCCGTCATCACTAGGAATTTTGTAGACTTTTCCGGGGAGACTCTCGCTTCCCGAGGGGATCTTGTGGCTTGTTGCTTGTTTTCTGTACACGAGGTGTTGTAGCACGCATCAGCGTAGCTCTCACCCTCCATCCTCCCCTTCACCCCCTTTGCTCTGCTCGATCCTGCAGGCAATCAACTCGGCATGATTGCACAGCATCACATGGTGACGCGGGGGGAGACATGGGAAGATCCATCATGATTACCCTCTTGCCAAGACTTTTTCGACCCTCCACAAGACCATTCCCTCCTTTTCGGACCATGATCGCCAGCAAGGACGGCGTTTGTTAGATTCTCGAAATAGGGCGCATCCCCACGTTTCTTGTTATCGCAGGGCGTTGTTGTACATCCGGAAACAAAAAGACCTCGGTTCCGACGAGCAGAAAGGTTCTGGGCGTATTCTACAAGCCGACCTCGGGTCAGGCGAGCGAACGATAGGGCTTCCTTTACGAAGCAGTCCAGTCCAATCGCCACGGGACACACTTTTGACAACCGTACACGTACCGGGTGACTGACTAAAAAGGGCGTCACAGCGCGCTGGACGTGGACGCCTGCGGCTGGACAAGGGTGGGCATGTCCTAGAATTGCACCGATTCCGGCAACTCGATGGCAACTTTTATTCCGCCCTGCAGTGATCTCCTTGTCGATTTGATCTGTGGACGACAAGTTGAAGGGCGCCTAGATGGAGGTCAGCCGAGGCTAGTGGATGGGAGTGACAGGGGCCATGGCCAAAGCGTTCAAGAGACCTTGAATTCGTAGGCTTTTGCTGAGCAAGCACCGACCCGCGGAGTTTCGCCAGCTTGATCTTTGTCATCGATACTTTAACTTGCAAGTCTTGTATAATCTAATCATGAATGACTATGTAAGTGCGAACGAGTTCGAGTCCGAGCTGACCAGAGGGAGTGCGCATGGCAGCGAGATACCAGGCGCACAAGACACGATGGACTCTTGTGTCAGACCTCAGCTGGATTCCTAATCAGGGCAAGAAAGCCGCCAAGAAGAAAAGTATGGAATCTGATATCCGAACAACTCGTCCATCGACAACGCATCATACCCCAGAGTTGTACTTGAACAGACTTGGCAAACGGCCCGTCGGCACCATACTCAAGGGAGTTGTTTCTTGGAAGAATTCCAGTCAACAAAGGTTGTCTCTGATAGAGAGCCTCATGGGTTTCACTCGCTCGACGTTGTGAGACAATGGGTCAAAGGAATGAAGGGAAAGCCCGGTACTCGACAAACTCGGCACTTGAGACTTGGCGGACGGGGGAGAATATGTCGTGTGTAAACATTTGCGAAACGCAAACTGCTTCGCAAGTCGTTGCGGCGACACCAGATCGGTAACAGCTTCTTGAGGTGAAAGAGAGTCCAAAAGGCAAGCTACTAAGAGCATGTCTAAAGGGGCTCGCTATTCGTCGACCAGATTTCAGGGGCATCACGGACCCCTTTTCTTCTCTGACGTCCCCACGACAAGATCCGCTTTCATCAGTCTCTTTGATGATATCGTTCAAAGTTACCGACACGTAATCTGGTATCCATCGCGAACCATCAACCGGAGTCTATTGCAACAAAATCACCTCTTGAGACGCGGCATCTGTCGAAGCTGAAACAAAAATACTCTGCCACGGAATCGAGCAAGGGTCCCCATGTCCATCAAAACTGACTCTCCAACATAACAGCTAAGAAATGCTTATCCAGTTCTTTCATTGCTTGCTTTTTTGTCAATCGAGTTCGAAAACGGACGTCGAGTATCCGGTTACGGCTTTCTTGTCCAATGCTTCGTAACCGAGACGAATATTCGTATCAGGGGAAAGCCGGCAATACGAGTTGCCCAGTTACCTGCTTTTGCTTCCGGACCAACACTCGCTCTCGGGTGCACAGTCCAAGATGCAATTTGCCTTGTTAGTGCCAGTTCAAGGGGTTCGGTGAGGGCAAAAAAAGTCTCGAGTCTAGTGCAAGATCTACACTCTCAACCCCATTGCACCATTGTCGCGGCCGGTGTCACCTTCAGTTGAGGGAGATTGTGAGATATCCGGGCTGGAATTAACAGCCCCGAGATGTGGCTTTTGTCCGGGGAGACGGTTGACGCACAAATGTCTCTTCATCATGTTCACCTCTTGCGACTTAATCTCCCTTTTTTTGCTTGGCGCCGGGACCATTTTTTACCTGATATCCTGCATCTTGTCAGTCACAAGAAGAGGCGTCGTTGCCGTGTTTCCCAGGAAGTGATGCAGCGCGGGCCCCCTGTGGCTGCATGTGCTACAGCGCCCTACCGCTAAATTTGTCGTTGTTTTACGCCTGTTGCCGCCAGAGAGCGCCTCTTTTCTGACGTGAGGCAGCTGGAGCGCTTCAAGTTCTCCTTACAGCCTGAGCTGCCCTAGCACTCCCTGAAATTCAGGTCCCCCGTCTTGGGTCCTTTCTCAGGGGTATCTCCCTTTCAAGGGTACCTGCTGTCAAAGTGCCCGTAAGCGGGCCATCGTTGTCCCTTCCATCAATCGTAACTTTCCCGTGCCGTCCCATCCCATCCCCGGGACCCTTCTCCTTTGCCTCCGCGCCGTGACTTCCCTGACACTGGAGCTGGAGCTTTATGAGGCCGCGTACTCCGTCCTCCGTTCCTTCCTCCGTATCGAGTCAGGATCTGTCGGCGTTCCACGTATTGTCTTGAGGCTTGGGTCTGTCTTTTTTAAAAAAAAAAAATCCTCCTCCAACTTCAATCCATCCTCCCAGTTTCATCAACATCGACCTACTACCTATCCTATCCTCCCTCCGCCGCTCAGCCTATACGAATCTATACGAATCAATGGCCAGATAACGACAGGCGCACAATCGCATCTCTCACTGCATCTGTCGCTTAGCTCCCGCTGATTGGCTCCGGCGACCTTCCAACGTCTCGGCAGCTCCGCCTTGCGAGGACGCCACCTGCGAGGGCCAGTCGCTGTTCTTTTTTAGCCCAGGGTCTGCAGCACGAGCAACTTCTCTACAGCGGTTCGAGGTCCACTCGTCTCCAATTGCGGATCCCCTGGCCTGCAATTCATCCCTCGCTCGACCTGACCTGAACGAGCGCTGACCGACGCGATCAAATTCTTGGGACCAGCGACACGTCTCCTCGTTGTGCTGCATTTTCTGCTTTTGCCATTGCGTCTGTTGTCACCACCAGCTTTCGCCTGGATACGCTCGCTTTCTCCATGCCGATATAGCCTAGTCCCTCGTTTCTTGAGCTTTCTCTGCGCACCCCTGCCCCCTTGCCTGGGCACTTTCGCTCCTTACCAGCAAATCTTGGAGCGAAATCGATCTTGCACATTCTCGACGAAACGACAATCTCGCCGCCATGATCAACTCTCGCCGCGCCATCGTGGCTGCGGTCTTTATCCTCACAGTCTTCTTCCTACTATCGCGATCGCACCAGTCGACACCCAGCGTCCCAGCCGCCAAAGATGCTGTCGCTGCTGATACCGGCACCAAGGCTGCTGCTCCTGCCTCGAACCCTGACCCCGTGCAACCACCCCCCGAGAAGCCCAAAGAGATGGAGGTGAAGGAGCGTCGCACGCGTCCTCGCATTGACATGTCTGGCATGTCGACATACGAAAAGCTCGCCTACGCATACCCCTACGACGTCGAGACCAAGTTTCCGGCCTACATCTGGCAGACGTGGAAGCAGAGCCCTGACCAGGCCGACTTCCAGTTCAAGGACCAGCATGCTTCTTGGACCGTCGAGCATCCAGGTTTCGTTCACGAGGTCATCACCGACGATGTGGCCGTCAACCTGATTCGCCTGCTCTACGCTACTGTCCCCGAAGTTATCGACGCCTATCGATCCCTTCCGTTGCCCGTCCTTAGGGCCGACTTCTTCCGTTACCTGATTCTCTACGCTCGTGGTGGTATTTACACGGATATTGACACATATGCTATCCAGAGCTCTGTCAAATGGCTACCCGAGAAAATCCCACGCGAGACAATTGGCCTGGTCATTGGTATTGAAGCTGACCCTGATCGCCCTGACTGGGCTCAGTGGTACAGCCGTCGCATCCAGTTCTGCCAGTGGACGATCCAAAGCAAGCCTGGACACCCCGTACTTCGCGACATCATTACACGGATCGCTAAGCAGACACTTAGCATGAAGCGCCAGGGCAAGTTGGACAGACTGGTCGATCACGACGTGGTCGAGTTCACGGGACCAGCTGTGTGGACAGATGCCATCATGGAGTACTTTAACGACGAGCGATTCTTTGACCTGTCGCGAAGCAAGGGAGTCATTGATTACAAGAACTTTACCGGTATGGAGACGAGTAAGCGCGTGGGTGATGTGGTTGTGCTGCCCATCACAAGCTTCTCGCCAGGAGTAGGACAGATGGGGGCAAAGGAGCCCGACGACCCCATGGCTTTTGTCAAGCACGATTTTGAGGGTAAGTTGATGTGAAGCTGAGGGATTGATCGATACTGACTGTTTGACAGGAACCTGGAAACCCGAGAGCGAGCGACACATGGGCGAGCAGAAGGAGGACGGCGGAGAGCAGCAGCCGCAACAGCAACAGCAGCAGGCGCCTGCGCAATAACAGTATCCTCCGGGCGATGAACCATAACCAACGATAACCTAATGTTTCGAAACGACTTTCAAGATAAGCTTCTCGAACCTATATATTTCCGCTGCTACTCTTTTCTAATGACACCGGTTGGTGTCCATCTTGGGGCTGGTTTCCGCATCATGTGTGCTTTTTAGCCGAGGACTGATAGACCCTGGCTGTTGCATGGCGAAGGAGACGTTAAACAAAATCTGGGGAATGGTAATAGACTTTGTTTGGTCTGAGGGCATTGCAAGGGGAGAGTGGTTTTTGCTTTGGGATAGATTCTGGTTTTTGATCTCTTTCTTTTTTTTTTCTTGCTGATTGGACTGTCTGTATCAAGAGTACTATGATGCCCTATGGTGTTGAAGGAGAAGGAGTTGCTCGGAGTCAGAGCTGGGGAGACAAGGGCAGTTAAACGGGATAGGACTCGTCACGCCGAGGATGGACTCTGTTTGCTGGCTATAGAAGTCAGAGCAGCGGCATTCTCCGGATGACTTTGACGACGATAGTGTCCAAGAGATACCTCATCAATAAGACGGCTACAAGCAATGTATGGCTCCAATTCTGGTCGATCGTTGGATGGGCAATGGCTTGGATACTGTGGGGGCTCAACAACGAGTAAGCTGATTGGGGCGTCCTCACGAGGCGTCAAGGAGTCAAGTCTCTTGACAAGCCAACAAGACAATCAAGTTCATGTCTGGCTACAGTACGCAACTTGGCGTTGCTAGCGCAAGACGCCTCCGTCATATCAGCGTCCAAAGACGGGAGTAAGCATTCCTCGAGCTGTACCTCTGGATGGAGCTGGGTAGGCCAAACCCCGCATTTCCCCAGGTTTCTTAGCGGGCTTCAACGGGCTTCAACGGCCCTTCATTGGTTGCATCTCGCTCGAACTTGTGTTGCCGCTGAGGGGTTCCCATGGCTGTTCCCGGCTCGTCTTGCCGCTGTGGAGAGAGGGAGGGAAGAGGAGAGAGGAGCAGGAGGAGAAGCAAGCTTGAGCGAGGATAGCCGAGGCGAGCACCGGATGGTTATCATCGCTTGTGTTGGCTTTGTTCATCTTGGATCAATTCGAGTAGGACAAGCTGTATACCACACATCGTTGAGAGATCGCTTCGCGTTATTGATACTCTCGACAAAGCACAACACATCTGTCTCGGTTAGATGCAGCCGTCGCCATGATGATGCAGAGCTTGATACGGCGGTGTCTGGGGAGGTCGCCCATGCCTAGGAGGATGGCCACGAGCTTGTGCCAGAAGAGGACACTTGCTACGTCTGGATTGAGTATTCGATGGGGATCTGAAGAGGTGAGATGTCCTTTATTCATGAGGTTTTACATGAATGCTGACAGTTGCAGCCTGTGCTTTACAATGGCACCATTCCCGAGCACTTTGCTTCAGTCGTCTCTGCTCACGGCGATCGTGAAGCTGTCATTGCTCGATCGCCATCTCCAGCGGCGATTGAGTCGACTCTCACATATTATGCTCTGGACTCGCTTTCCAATGGCTTGGCTCACTCTCTCGCTTCACTCGGCGTGAAAAAAGGCGATCGAGTCGCCATCTCTCTTGGCAATGGACCTGAATTCGCTGCCCTCACTTACGCATGCTTCAAGCTCGGCGCCATCCTTGTGCCATTGAACCCAGGCTTCAATGAGCGTCAAGTTGTTGCCGCGTTGAAGCATCTCGCCGTTGAGACGCTCGTCATGGGTGCTGTTACGGATCTTGCGTATAAACCTGGCAAGGGTCGTTCCAACGAACATCTTTTGCAGAGCGTCGTGGGCGATCTTCAGTCTTCTATCATTCAGAGCGAGGCTGTGCCCTCTCTGCGAAAGGTAGTGGTCGTTGATAACCTCAAGAGCCACCCAGGTGTCAAGTTCGATCTCAAGGCGAGCAGAGCTCTCACTCCTTACTCATCTCTATTTGATGGCTCGGTGAAGCCAGTTATACCGAGTTCGCCCCTGGATCCTAACGATACTATCAACATTCAGTTCACATCCGGTACGACCTCACTTCCCAAGGCGGCTATGCTTTCACACCGTGCTATCCTCAACAACGGTGCCTTTATCGCCGACCGTATGGGTCTCGTTCCCGGAGATTTAATTGTTGTACCTCCTCCTCTATTTCACTGCTTCGGCTGCGTGCTGGGTTATATGGCGACTGCAACAACAGGCGCTGCCATTCTCTTCCCCAGCCCGGCGTTTGACCCAGACGCAACACTACGCATGTGCGTCGACCACGATGCAACAGGCCTCTACGGCGTCAGCACCATGCTTGTCGCTGTACTTGAGTCTCTCCACCGTGGTGATGTTGTCCCCCACGCTCCCAAGAGTCTTCGCAAGGGCATCGTTGCGGGTAGCAGTGTCCCCGAATCTCTCATGCGAACCCTCTACAACACCCTCGGTCTTGAAGATCTCGTAATCTGCTACGGCATGACAGAGACGGCACCTGTGAGCTGCATGACCACCCCATCCGACCCCTTCGAGAAGCGCACATCATCCGTTGGCAGAGTCATGCCACACACTGGTCTCAAGATTGTTGATCCTCACGATCATAGCCAGATCGTGCCAGTAGGTTCACGAGGAGAGCTTGCGGCGGCTGGGTACCTCGTCATGAAGGGGTACTACGGCGACGAGGAGCGAACGGCTGAAGTGCGCAAGCCGGATCCTGGTGATGGCAAGATTTGGATGTATTCTGGGGATGAGGCTGAGATGGATGCTGATGGATATGTGCGCATCACTGGCCGTATCAAGGATCTCATTATCCGTGGAGGAGAGAATATCCACCCTCTCGAAGTCGAGGACTGCCTCCTTTCTCACGAAGGTGTCCGCGAAGCCAGCGTCATAGGTGTTCCTGACGATCGATACGGTGAAGCCGTCGCAGCTTTCGTTATACCGGCAACAGGATGGACGCCAGCCGACCACGCAGGGGCTGGTGCCCCCGTCGAAGAGGGTATCTTGACCAGAGACGGTCTCAGAGCATGGGTCTCCAAGCACCTGTCCAAGCACCTCGCACCCAAGTACGTCTTTTGGATCGACGAGTATCCCAAGACGGCTAGCGGAAAGGTGCAGAAGTTTAAGTTGAGGGAGTATGCGAGAGAGCTACTGGGCGATGAACAAGAGGAGAAAAAGGCAAGGTGGACAGGAGTCTAATGCCTCTGAATCACATCATGAACCAGTGAGCTGAGGAAGTATAAGAAACATCACGTGTCCTAGAGACGAGTCATTGCATTCAAACATTGCTTCAATAATCAGTCATTGCATAACAGACCCAACGAGTAGCGTTGTCAAAGGTATCATTTCCAGTTCAAGTCATCATCCCTCGTCTCCAAAGTGTGAAAGAAGACGACATTTACAAAAACCACTCCATCCAAGTTTCATGTCTTGTCTTGTCTGTGAACCCAACCAAAAAAAAAAGAGAAAAAAAAAGAGCATCATTTGTAGAGAGACGTTTTATATCTCCCCATCTATTCCCTCAAAAAATTGTCAACAAGCAAGCAAACTTTTCTCTTTGCCTTTGCTAGTAGTAGTAGCAGCAATCATCATCATCTATGGCGGCCGTCTCTCTTTCTCTTTCTCTCTTCTCTGCCTTTCTCCTTCATCTCTCTCTGGGTAGAGTTCCTGATGCAGTAGGTAGCGAGGTTCCTGACCCCAACTGTTTCTCCCTCGCTCTTGTCTAGCTCAAGCAAACCGTTCGTTCGTCATGGTCGAGGAAAAGAAAAGGCCGGAATTGAAGGCCCAAGTAGACCAAAGATGGCGAGCATCGCCCCAATGTGTGTGCAGTGCAGTTCAGTTCAGTGAGGAAAACGTGACGTGGACTCGTTAAACTCCCATCCCGATTTCGTTCGTTCGTTCGTTGTCTAATCGACTTGCTTCTCGCAACCGATACGTCCCAGCAACTCCTTGCGATCGCTGTGGCCGGGGAGGCTGACTCCGGAGCTGCTGGCTTGCTTCCTAACGCCAGATCGGCGCTCCCAGTTCCTGAGGTCAAGATCCTCGACGCCAACCTCCTCCTCAAGGGGCTGAGCCTCCTCGTAAACAAACTCATCCTCCTCCTCTTCCTCATCACCACCCTCGTCGTCACTTCGCACATCCTCGGCATCACCTCCCTTGAGGACCTTGATGATGACACGGACAATCAAGGTGAACCACCCGATGGTGATGAGCTGGAGGAAGAGGAGAGGACCAAGGAAAGCCCACTGGATGATCTCGTTGTAGCAGACAAGGCCGTCGGGCTTGAGGAAGGGGTCGAGTAGGTATGAATAGCCGGCCGGAGGATCGATGGGGCCAATCAGGTTGTCGTTGGTGCCCTTGAAGCAGCCGGTTGGCATGATCTGGGGAACATCGCTGTAGATGGACCAGCAGACCATGATGTAGAGGACGTGGCGGGCAATGAACCACGAAACCACAAACAGTCCAAACATGACATCGCAGAGCTTGGTGAAGCCGCTGTACTTGAGGCACTTGGCAAGCTGGAGTGTGTCAGTAAGAAATCAGACAGTCGCCTCGCAGGGATACTCACAGGGAGAAACAGGTCAACAACATCCATAATGACGAGGATAAAGTTGCCGACGCGGGTGTGGTGGTAGGCGTAGCAAGAGTAGATGAGCGCAGTCGTGACAATGTGGTGAGTAAACATCTGCCAGTGATCCTTGCGACGCTCCTCAATGTTAATGACAATCATCTGCTGCAGCCAAAAAGCCCACTGGCATAGGAGGTAACCCTTCATGAGGCCATCGAGCTCGCGGTTGGGCCAGTCGGTCCAGAGGTTCTTCATGCTCATGTAGTGAGGCGAGGTGCAGTAAATGTACTGGGCAAGTCAGCAGATGGCTCCAACAAGTGTAGTCGGTTTAAACTCACCACTCCCCAGGGCCAAAAGACAGTGTAATACACCATGAGCCAGGCCTGCTCGCTAAAGCGAGTCAAGGACTTGCGGTTGGTGATTCCCTGGAATCTGCCAATGGGGGCCAGAACGTGCTCCATGATGCCAGCGCGGAGGCCGGTAAAAAGGATGATGCAAAAGGCGATGAAGTAGGCATCATCGAATCCGATGCGGTACTGGCCTGATTTGGGGTTGTAGTAGCTGAGGTTGAAGAACTTGTACGTGTGTTCGCGGGCCTTGGGGATAAAGGTCTGGGCGAGGAAAATGAGGGCGAGGAGATTGAACGAAAGGCCTATCAACAAAACAGTCAGCTGGAGCTCGATATGCACGATCAAGGCGAGAGGTCAAATCCATCCATGTCTGCCGAACCGAACGACACACGGACACACACGCAGAAGCACCGACGCCCGCTCCAAGCTAGGGGGCCTGTCACCCAACGAGCGGCGGCTGGACCCTTGAGGCTGGAGCGGAAATGGTAGGGATGCCGTGCCACGCGGGGTGCCTCTCCAAGTGCGACAACCAATTCAATTCAAGGTCAGGCCAATCCAATTGACTGGTCTGTCCATCCACCCCACAAGATGGACCAGGTTCCTCCGACATTGATGGATGGATGAGATTTTCATCGGGAAGAAAAGGGAAAAAGGGGAGGCTGGTTCAATCAGAGGCGAGGACATACCAATCTGGTTCTCGACAAACCAGCGCGCAAGGTGCTTCCAGGTGCTCTCCTCCTTGCGCTTGAGTCGACGGACGAGCACCGTCTTGTTGCCCGAGGTCTGCATGTAGAGGGGCCCGTTCATGTTGGGGGTGCTGTTGTCCCTCTTGAGCCGTGTCCGCGCGGGGGCAGAGGAAGATGATGCTTTGGCGAAGCCATTGGATGTCTTGGGATTCGGCGCCGGGTTCGATTCGAGAGTCTCGGGGGCGGGCTGAGCTTGTTGAGCTGTTGGAGCTGGCGAATCTTGTAAAGACACAGTTGCATCTGCAATTGAGCTTTCGTTTGTGAAAGGCTGGGGTGGGGGATGAGGGGCGGCGATGATGGTCTTGTCGTCGACCTGCGACGGCGCAGGATAGCTTGTGTCGCTCATGGTTGAGCTTGTGATTTCTGTTATGGTGTTTCCGTTGATGTCGTCGTGCTTATCGTCCTTCGTATGGGTGCGATGTATTGTCTTGGCCTGAGAAAGAAGGGGGGGGAGGCGCTGTGGCTGATAGGCGGGCGGGTGGAAGGAGAGCCAGCGAGGGAGGGTCCTTGATCCACGAGTTGGGGAAAAAGTAGAGGCCACAAGATGCAGGATGATAGAGGACAGGGTGATGACAGCTGGTGTCCGCGTATCGTATCTTTTGGAGTCCGGCGAAAAGATACAGCGAGGTGTTGCTTCCGCAAGAAAAGACCAGATCGGCTACGGCGTCTGTCGTAGTGATATACAACCCAACGCTTTACCAAACAAGCAAAGACTTGGGATGAGATGCAACGAAAGAAGACGACGGAGGAATCAAGTCGTCAACCGGTACAGGACAATGTAGGAGGGGGGGGAGAAGAGGGACGGGAGACTCGAACAAAGGTCAAAGGCAGAAGAAAACGGGAACCCGATGAATTTTGAACTTGGACACTCGCTCTCCACTCGATGGATGGAGATGAATTGGCTTCCTTGGCTCTAAACAGAGATCCAATCCAGCGCCAAGCCGCGTAGGGGGGTCCTAGCTAGCGGGGGGGGAGCGGCGGCGCCCACTGGGGGTAAGGGTTGGTGGGCACTGTTGAGGGAGAGAGAGGAGCCCCACAACGGGCATTTCCCCCATCCAAGGCGGTGAGCAACAGTGTGCAGTGAGTGCAGTGAGGGTGCAGCTCTGATGTGCTCGACGTCCATCATGATATGAATGTGTGGCCTCTTTTCATTGCCCCGAGACGCGCAGAGAGAGACTGCAGAGGACCCAATTGGTTACTGGGTATCCATTTACTATGAATAACGGCCATATCCTGTGGGCCTGGCCGTGTCATCCCAGCTGACGGGAATGGATGGCCGTTCTCGCGGCAGATGCATCATGATGGGATGGATGGACAAGTCAATAAAGCCGCCTGCGGGGGGGATGGAGACAGCACCCCTCCATCAGAGATGTCCTCATCAGTTAGATTGGAACCAACAGATGCACAACTGCACGCATTGACTCTCGTTCCATGGAAAAAAAAAAGACACGAAACCTTTTGAGATTCTAGATGTTCCTCATCCTCCTCGAGTCCTGAACCCAGACTCTCTAGCTCCAGGGGAGGAGGGGGGAAGGGGGGCGTTTTAGGGCCCATCCCGTCCAGCCACCGGTTGCCCAAAGCTTCCATTCCGTTGAGGGAGATCATCCCAAGCAAAGAAGCAAGAAAAAAAGAGAAGAGAAGAAGCTTGGTCCCCTTTTCTTCTCATCATCCCCCCTTGCCCCTCAGTCATTCACCACCACCCTCTGGTTCCTCTTAAGCTTAGCTTATTAGCACCCATCCAATTCCCCCAAGCTATTTATTGTTACTGTAGATCAATGCTCACCCCCTTTTCAAAAGTGTCAATTGATCTGATGTGCCTTGGTGGCGGCTTGCTCCCGAAACCTTGATCCTTTAACGCAAATGCTTGCTTACACAAATAAGAAAAAAGAAAAAAATCGAGGTGTTTTTTTTTCTTGCATACTTTTTCTCAATGCCGGGGATAAAATATGTCATTCTCGTCTGATTCTGGCAAATAAGCCTAGATTTGATCCTGTGCACACCTTGTTACCAGGAAGCTAAATGCCGCCTCCGGGTCCGACAAGGGGTCCAGGTTCAACAGAAAAAAAAAGCAGGGCCCAGAGTTTGATATCCCCGGCCATCTCTCTTATGGCCACTTTATCAGCCTGTAGCTGGTGAGCCAGCGTCGGGCTGATCATCTCCGGCTGTTTCATTGGTCAATTCGACGTGATGGACTATGTCTGCAACCTCGGTACACAATAAATGTGACGAGGTGATTTGACCTTGCCTTGTCTTGTTGCGCTCGTGATACTGATGAGTACAACCATCCAAGATGACCACGTTCCAAGATTGACTCAATTTATCACGGCCCTTGTAAATATTGTATTAGATGTAGGTGCCTACCCAAGGCAGGTAGGTAGTCTATCCGCAACCCCGAGCCTCAAACACTCAGATCCACCATCCAAACCAAAACCTCCACCGTCTTTTCAACTCGAGACGGCCACCTCCGCAACCTGATGTCTGATGTCTTTGACCCCTCCTCTGGACCAAAGTCCCAGCATCTCCGGTTATCGTTGCCTGCATCCACGCGCCGCTGCCTCGCATACTGTACGCCATGTTTAGTCGTCTACAAGTAACAGTGAAAAGGAAGCGCTTTTCGCGTTCCCTGTCTAGCCCCCAGTCTCCGTTCCCTTCCTACCCCCAGCTCGCGCAATTCATGCTTGAAACTGGAAACCCCGCGCGCCTCCATGGATGATGGATCACCTCCGTCCTCCCCGCCGCCGCCGTCGCCTTTTTGATCTCGGTTGTCCATTGTCTGTGCCCAAGCGGCTCTTCTCTTATTCGCTTTTTTGCTGCCGACCTCTTATTCGTCTCCCCTCCCCTGCCAATCCCATCTTGCCTCCAATCTCGAAAATTTAAACACTCGAGCTTGGCTCTGGCTTGCGCACATCACCTGCAGTCCAGCGGAGCGCATTCTCCACTCGGGTTTAGCTTAGCTGTGACATGCTTCTCAGAAAGCAGCCATACGAAAACAGCCCGCCGTCTTGCTCCTCCAGCCCCGCAATCTTGGATAATCTTTACGTCGCCAAGGCGCTTGATAGTCCCAATAGCTTTGCATTCTGTGGAGTATATGCCATAATTATCTTTTCTCTTCTTATTTATGGCCTTATGCTGGAGGTTTAAATGCCGGTGGATGTGAGATCTCTTATCTACGTTCCAATCACTCAAGGCTACTTCTCGGTACCAGATTACACATCCGAGAAGCACTCAACACTCAGAAGATGGATCCATAATGGGATCTTGCAAGTCAGGCTGAAAGAGTGGGTCACAGTTGAAGCTCAGTTTCAATGAATCAACTCCTTTGTAAGCTGTGTTCTCGTTGAACTGGACAATGGCATTGTCTTGGATTTCCTTTGAGCTACCAATAGCTTATGAAACTGGGCAAGGTTAGAACAAACTGCCAAACTATGACCGTGCGGGCCAACATATCACGACTAGAAGTTCAGAGACTCGGCCACATTCAAGGGTCGTCGCATTATTGGCCAGAAGCTTGTCTTGTCAAAGCCCAGACGGTCTTGTTTGGCTGCACACACTCCGAATCTCTTGGCTCGAGTGTGCCTGATATCAGCATTGGGTGAAATAACAACATCGCAGCAGACCAGACAGTACTGTGACGTTCATTGAATAAACGTCAAAGACTATCGTCCTCAAAGAGCAATGACTTATATAACGAATGCCTTGCCCCCTTACTCTCTACTCTTGAGCTCATATAAAGAGCTGGTGGTGATAAAAAGAGCTGCGACGGATTTGGCAAGGCACCCACCATCCATGCCAAGCTGACGCCACACATGCGCCCCTAGCCAATCACACAATCACGTTGCCTAGCGCCACACTCGTCGAACACTCCCCCCACATGACCTCCCCGACGTCCTCCCTCGGCCTCGCATCATCGACAAACTGTCGTCACCCTCTCATCGAAACGTCCCTCGCAGCCTTATCCGTTACTGCACGAAACTCCTCCCGACACCTGTACCTTACCTCGCGACCATCGTCAAACGCGTCGTAGCCAAGATGGCCTCCTCGACAAAGTATCAGCCCGCGCCTCAGAGCGACCCCGACGACTACACCCACGCTCCCCCCGCCTACGCCGAGGGTTCGGCTTCTCGCGACGAGACGCAGGGTCTCTTTGGTGCGCCCCGCGACAGCGAGGATAACCTTCCCGATGACTTCAAGGTACGATATATCTCCCCTGAGCTTGATAGTGGAGAGTGGCGATGCTAACTTCATGACAGTTTGGCGGCTCCGTGGCCGAGGCTACCGTCGACATCCGCAACCAGTTCGTCCGCAAGGTCTACACCATCCTTACCGTCCAGCTCCTCGCCACCGCAGGTGTGAGCTCCCTCACCTTCTTCAGCGCTGGCTACAAGGAATGGATTCAGGGCCACCCCGGCGTCGTCTGGGCTTCGGTACGTCCCCTCTCCGAGAATAACAGATTGAATTACTAACAGAGTTACAGCTCTTCGGTGCCATGATCTTCATGGGCTTGACTTACTGGAAGCGCAAGTCTTACCCGACCAACCTCCTCTTCCTCTCTCTGTTCACTCTCGCCGAAGCCTACACCATCTCCGTCATCGTGTCCTTTTACAAGACGTCCATCGTTCTTAACGCTGTCGTCCTCACCGCGGGAATCTTTGTCTTCCTCACTCTCTTCGCCTGCCAGACAAAGTACGACTTTACCTCATGGATGCCCTACCTCTTCGGCGCTCTCTGGGGCCTTGTCATCTTTGGCTTCATGGCCATGTTCTTCCCCTACAGCTCCACCGGCGAGCTCATCTACGGTGGTCTTGCAGCTCTCATCTTTAGTGGCTACATTCTCGTTGACACCCAGCTCGTTCTCCGTCATCACCATGTCGAGGAAGAGATTGCCGCTGCCATCAGCCTGTACCTGGACATTATCAACCTCTTCCTCGCCATTCTGCGCATTCTCAACAGCCAGTCTAACAACTAAATCTGGTTGACTCAACAGAAGAATTTGGATGGGAGATGTAAACGTGGAGGCTCGGCAATGAGAGTCGACCAGCGATGGAATCATTGATTCCTATTCTTTTCCTTACTTTGTAGTGATCGTGTTTCGACTCGTCTCATCAAAATGTCTCTCGTTGCTTGTGTATAGGAAGTTGTCAAGAATAAGACCTTGGGCATTGGCGTTTATTGGAGGATAAGTTAATGGTTTTCCTTGTTTCTTCTACGTATCAACCGCTGGTTGGTTAATCCCTTTACAACTAGCGTAGACAATAGTCAATCGATAGTTGACATGGCACTTTTGGATCAACTATTGGCAATCGAGTTCGGCAGTACAAGAAATATTGAATGTATTTGATATCAGCATTAGAAGGCCACTAGAAAAAGGAAACAATCAAGGATGTGTCGTCCAGAATGGATACCAATACACGCCCAATACAAGTCTAACATGACCACAAAATGGCCATAAGGCAGGCATCGGCACACGATACACCCCTCTCGCCAGTCAACTGCATTGCCATGCTTGGCCCTCTTCATCCCTCAAGACACACCACACACGCTCCTCGCCCAGCTGCATCCCACAACAGCCACGAATGAATGGCCCTCCCTCAAAGAATGCCTCTACACGCAAGCGGCCGCCCGCCCACTGTCTGGCTTCCACGGAAACGCCCCCTCGGGTTATGTGGTATCTCTACCGTCGCCTCGAGAATCGTAGCTAGCTCTCCGGTGCAGCAGGGCGGTGATGAAAAAGAAAAACAAAACGACAACTCAGTTTTGCAGCAGCAGCAGCAGGGGGAATATTCTCATCTTTCTCTTTAGTCGTGGGAGAGGAAAACCAACGCCAGCAATCGACAATAGTCCAACGTCGCATTTTTGAAGCACCGCGAAAAGACCCAGTATGTGAGGTGACCTGGTCTAGTTGGTAGGCTCCTCGCCGTTGGGCTCGGGCGTGCCGGAGGCCTGAGCAGCCGCCTCTCGTTGCATGCGCGCCTCGATCTCGCGGAGCTGGGACTCGCGGGCCAGCAGCTCCTGTCGCTTCTCGTTGATCTCGCGCTGCACCTTGAGCTCGATCTCGCGCAGCTTCTCCTCCTCTCGTCGAAGCTGCTCCTCCTTGAGGCGGACGGACTGCGAGGCAAGGTCCTCGGGGTTCATTGAGCTGTCAGCGCTGCGATCAGTTAGCGGTGAATATGTTAAGCAGGATCAAGTCAAAACTCACTTTCCGGCAGCGCCCTCGACGCTCTTAGACAGCTTCTCGGTACGGTAGTTCTCGTACAGGAAGTCGTGGGTGATTTCCTTGAGATCAGCCAGGTGGCTGTGGAGAAGCGCAGATCGAATGGCAAGGAAGTCGGAGTGACGAGGGTTGTCGACCTCGACAACACCCCAGGGGTAGTGGCGGGCGCGAACCTTGCGGCCACCAATCTCAACAACCTCCTCGGAACCAACAATGGCGAAAGGCATGAGTCCACGGAGCTCAGCGTTCTCCTCGACGGTGTCCTCGTCATCCTCCTCGATGTCGTAGGGGAAGTTGTAGACAGGGATGCGGTAGTGCTCAATATCCTCCATGACCAGCTTCTTGGACTCGGCGAGCTCAGCGGGGGTGAGCGAATCGGCGCGACCAATGACGGGGATGACGTTGACACGGGGGGCAAGGCGCTTCATGAGCTCGATGTCGAGTTCTCGGAGACTACAGATATGAGCAAGAATTATAGATGCTGGGGCGTGTAGGCACATACCCATGGCCAGTGGGGGTGATGAAGTAGAGCATAGCATGGACTCGGTTGTCTCTGAAGCGAGGGTTACGCTTGATACGGGACTCCTCGGCGAGAATGTCGTCGTATTGCCTCTCGAGGTAGCCGACGATCTCTGAGAAGCTAGGATGGGTTAGCGGGGAGTATAGGGGTCGGTTGCTAGGTGAGCTCACCTGGCCTCGTTGTCGATCTGGTCGCCGAAGCCGGGGGTATCAACAATGGTCAGAGAGATGCGGGTGCCCTCCTCGTCAAGCTCGAGCTCTGGGCCGATGTCAGTAATGCGTGCGCAAGCTGTTTAGGGGTTCACTAGACGCACCGACAGTGATGGGCTTGATCTTGACGCCATCCTCAACGTGCGCGCTTCCAGCATCGTCGGACTCCTTGTGATCCAACACGCTCTTTCCACAGAGGGTGTTGACAAAGGTGGTGCGGCCTGCATACGGTGAGCTTTGAGAACGGTTTAGGTCGCGACGAGAGCGCGGGAGGTGTTGTCGCAGCGTGTCTCGCCAGGGGCCACGTACCAGTGCCTGAAGCACCGCAGACCATCAGACAAAACTGAATACCCTTCTTGACATTCTTCTTTCGGCGAATCATCTTCTATGGGGGACCAAGAGTCAGCTATATGCAAGCAGAAAGTGGCGACGCGCGCGTGAGGTGTCCGTTGCAGGTATGATGCGGTGACGGAAGCTCTATCGGCCGGCCCATGGAGCAAACGGGGCCGAGGGGGGGATTGGATTGCACGTACGCCCAGGGACGACATCTCGGCGACGGTTTTCGGAGACGATGAAGCTGAACGGTAACGGCAGGAACGGGTCGGAGGCACCAAACGTCGAGCAACGGGCTCTTGTCGAGAGGGAAGACGGGCGTTTTGGGTGGTTGTTTGAAGTGGAAACTTGGGGAAACCAAGGGGAAAATGTTAAAGGAGGCTAGGAGCAAGGAGAGGAGGATACGGGTCAGGTTGAGACTTGGTCGCTCAAGGGGCATGGGCAATTTCGCACCTGGCCAATCGCTCCTGCCCTGGCTTGGGCTGGGATTCAGGGGAAGTGCCAGTACCACCAGCGTCCGCAGGGAAGGAGCACCCTCCACAACACGTCTCGACGCCCTGTCAATCAAGCCAGACCGCCTTCCCGCCAACTCAAGGGACCACTTTAGCGGGACCCACATGAGCAAAGTCGTGTGGCGCTTGGCTGTTCTGTTTCATCACGTGATGCTTACTACCATTTGACAGCATTGCAAGGTTTCATCAATATGATAACTACCGGCTCCTAAATAAACAAATGATGAAGATGTATTTTTCTGCTCTTTTCACCTATAATGTAAGAATTTTACAAGCACGAGGAAAAAACCGGCATAGCCATTGAAATCAACCCTCTCTACTGATCCATATCCCTCTACCTTCAAGCGTACACCTTCTTCCGGTCAAGTGGCCTCCACTCCATCTTGGATTCTTGGTCGTTCTCATCCTGAGCTGGCGGCACCGCTCGAACCGCGATATATCCCGTCTCACTCTCAGGCCGCACATCCGCGAGTTGAAGCCGTAGATCTCGCAGCTTCCTTGCTCTGTCTGGGCCATCAAGACTTGACCCACTGGGAGCCAGAGGCACGTATGGGTTATCTCGTGTCAAAGAGCTGGCAAATCCTAACATATCTGGTCCACGGATAAAGAACTCCAGGGCGAGTCCTAGAAGGGCCAAGAGTTGCAGGATTGTCGTCGTGGCAAGCAGGATAGCAATCCAGAGCCGGTTTGCCTTGTAGACACGATGAACTGCAGTTCTTGTGCCGCTGGTGGAGTTCATGAAAGGTTGGTCGTTGTGTCCGCTTCCACCCAAACTGAGAATATTAAAGGCCGGTGTCGATGTGAACGTGACACTGGTGTGACTAGAGGGGTTCAAAGCGGAATCCCAGTATGTGTTGAAGGCTGTCGTGAAGCGCCGAGAGAATACGTCAGGGAAGATAAAGAGGTCTTCTTTGGTCCACGCTCGGTATGGCTGGCCCGCGAATGGATGTGGATCCCCCATGATATAATTCTCCGTGGGCGATGCTAAATTATCGTCTGCTTCCTCTCCCCCGATCGCCTGGGGCCAGAAGTCCATGGCCCCTTTTAGAACCAAAGCGTTGCTCAGGATAGGTTCTGGGGGCCGGTTCGGGCCATGGTTACCCTTTACGCGACGTTGACGCCGTGCGGAGCAGCTTGTTGCCAGTGGTCGCGGGCCGCAGCGTATAGCTGTTTCAACGGTGATGGTCTGCATAGTGCAGTTTACCATATGATAAAACACAAGCCCAAGTCCTTCGCGTCCACGGTCTTCGCCAACGCCAGTATAGATCAGTTGGACGGGTGGAAGATCACCACGGCTCTTCCATCTCGCCCATGCCTCTGGAGTGAGGCTATTCCCCCAGGGGGTCTTCATTTCGATCAAGAAGGGCCCATCAATAGTGTCTCCACTGTCTCGTTTTCCAGCGGAGACGCAGTTGAAGTCCATGTAGGACGACTTGACAGCGAAATCGTATTGCCGGTCGGCGCTTGAGGAGTCAAGGCTTTGGATCTTGATCCCCAATAGGGACGCATAATAGCTATCGCCACGAGTAAAGGCATCATCTTCCACATCATACCACTCATTAATCTCCCTCTCAGGAGACCACTGGGGGATCTTTGGCAACTCCCAGAGATCTCTTGGTGACCCCTTCTGCTGCTGAGAGGACATCAAAGTTGACGAGTACAGGGCTGTGATGCTACGCCTTTTGCCTTTGAATGAGCCCAAATCAGGAAACGAAAAGAATTGGGAGCCGGGGTCGGAGAAATAGACAACCATGGTTGATGTGGTGGTGCTATTCCCAGGAGCGAGTAGTCGGGAAGCGCTTTGTCCTCCGAGAGGAGACATTGCCCAGATCAATAAAATCCCCGAGCCAATGATAACCTGTGTCCGGACGAAAAAGACTCTCTCCACGGCCGCAGCAAAGCTCTGGCTCCTAAATATCTGCTCCAGCGTTGCTAGCCCTATGCCATTCGGCCTCTCCAAGCACCACCGGGCAAAGGCCTTGTAGAAGCGGCTAGAAACCGCAGCGAATAGTATTGGGTATATTGTAGGGCTCAGGCGAGTCAATTCAACGACCCTCTCCCCAAAGTCGGATAATGGCTGTTCGTCTAAGTGGATGGAAACGAGAGCGAGAGCTAAGTATTAGGTCAGTTGGGCATACCCTTTGAGAGTTGGGAGTGGTAACTAACCAATGAAGCAGGTAGGTACAAAAGTCAGAATGATGTCCCAGGCCCAGCCTAGAAGCCAAGTAACGCCGAGAGGATGCAGCCTTCCGGGGAGTAGGCGTCGCTCGGTATGTACTTGAGCGATGGGATTGACTTGCGCTTCATGCTTAGGTCTCTCCTCAGTATCTTGGGCAGACGAGTCGTCAAGAACCGGGGCATAGGTCAGTTGAGATGAGTGTCGTGAGCCAGAAACAGTCCGTCTACGCCTCTTTGCGTCCCTGTCTGGTGTCAGCGCCGGGGTTTTGTCGTGGGGAAAGGATCAAGTCCTACCCGTATCTCCAAAGGGCACCGAGGAGGAGTAGAACGGCAACAACGGCGGCAAGACAAATGCCAGCTACTGCCCCAGCCCCTAATGAGTGCTTGGTCTGGTTCTGGTCGCTGCCTTGGTCCTTGGAGGACTCCAACGCAGATGTCAAAGATGGCTTTGGGATCGAAACGGTCGTAGCATTGAGTCCCTCGTCAGACGCTTCAGGATATATCAGCAAGTAGCGGTTCACGGGGTCCTCGCTCAAGGACATCGGGATCAGACTCGCTCGCGGACATCCTGATATACAGGCATTCTGCTCGCAGCATCCTATGAAGGGTGGATCCGTGAACCCGCAGGTATACCAAGACTCAATACCTCCTGCCGTGCCACAATCTTGCGAAGGTATCTCCGCGTCACGGTTTTTGTCGAATATCGCTACGCGAAGGTCTTTGTCGGGACAACCATTACCCTTGGTGCAAGGGTCACTGGTACAGCAGCCCATGAACTGGTCCCGTTCATTCTCGCAGATGTAGAAACGACCGCCGTCAGGACAGGAGAATCCCCAGTATTTCATCACCTTGGAAAATTCATTCGTAACGTTGAAGGCCATCTTCATAGAGGAAGGATGCGGCGATTCCTTGGCTGTTAACGGACAAAGATAGAATCGACTTTGTGAAACGAGAGTGGGCTGATGAGAAGAAAGAATAAATCATCGGGGGCTGGGCTACTTGGGTAATAAAAAGAGAGGCAGAAATAGGATATAAAGCCAGGCTCGGGAGGATTCTTCAGTCATTGTCGAGGTGCAGAAGCCACAAGCAAGGAGCAGAGGCCTGGATTGGGCAGAAGCCATCCATCCTCAAAGCCCCAGGCTTAGGCGCAGCTCAAGATTATATGGTGGTTGGCTGATCTTCATGGAGCTGAAAGATTCCGCCTGCACGATGTTGACCGAGTTGATGTGAAAGTGCATATGGGTAACACGGGAAGTTGGCTGGGGAGGTGTGGCTTGAGGCGAAAGGAGACAACTACATTTCGTGGCTTGACAGCTTCTGTGGCTGTGCTCCTAAATAAGTGGCCCACCCCCAGCTCCATCACGGCTCCACGTTTCACACCGTGACGCCGCCCGCGAATGTGAGTTGTCCAGTGGATGGATGAAACAGTCCCCGTCCAAACAAAGCCTCTCTTACAATAGAGACAGACACCCGCAGCCTTGCTTACACTGGGAAGCTTTCTTGCATAGAAAGACAGCGCCTTGTTTCTGCATCTCTTTTTATCTATCTAATCATCTGACTTTGTTTGTCGCCCACTCTAATTCAAACAAACCTCCACCGTGCAGGTACCAAACAGGTGGATCTGCAACGCAACCTGCGCCGAACAGGACCCTCCCCCAGGTGTCATAACGCCTTATATCTCCGTTGCCAGACAAACTTCGAGATGTTGTCGCACTCGTGATACTTAAATAATCACCTAGCGCTCCTTCTTTTATTCCTTGATTCCAACATAGCTAGTCGTGGGCATCAAACCACGCATCGTCTCCCTCCGCCTCTTACCCCTCTCAAGCTCTCACGGCTCATCGGATATACCCACGAGCACACCACCAGATTCAACGTCATATAAAAGCATACAAGACAGGATGAATGTACGGCCACCGATAGAGGTCTCCACCCCAGAGGCCGTCCTCTCGGTCTCGTTTAACAACGACGCGAGCTGCTTCGCTGCCGGTCTTGACTCGGGCATCTGCAGTAAGCCACCCCCAGCTGCAGACAATATGGGGAGGGTCTCACTAACAGGCATTTCCTAGTCTTTCACACAAAGTCATGTCTCCTCAAGGCCTCAAGAGGTATGTCTGTCTAGGATCGCGTCTCACCACCGCAGGGGCTCACCGTTGTACAGATTTCAACGCCGGCATTGGTCTCGTCCAGATGATGGGCATGACCAACTATCTTGCCCTCGTCGGCGGAGGCAGGAATCCCAAGTTCGCCATGAACAAGGCATGTCGCTTTCAGGTGCTGAGAACCTTGACTGACTCATTCTCAGGCTATAATATGGGATGATATGAAGGGAAAGGTGGCCCTGGAGATCACAGCCTTGACATCCGTCCGAGGCGTCCAACTTGGCCGAGAGCGCATCGCCGTCGTCCTCCAGAACAGCGTCCGCGTCTACTCATTCGCCAAGCCTCCGGATCTCCTTCATGTTTACGAAACCGCCGATAACCTACTCGGCCTCTGCTGTCTCTCTGAAAAGAAGCTTGCCTTCCCTGGTCGAACACCCGGCCAGATCATGCTCATCGAGCTGGCGACTGGCAACGTCAGTATCATCCCCGCGCACTCCTCGGCTCTCAAGGCCATTGCTCTGAGCCCGGATGGTGAGCTTCTTGCCAGCGCCAGTGAGATGGGCACTCTCATTCGCGTCTATTCGACAAGCAACTGTGCCAGGCTCGCCGAGTTACGCCGTGGCATCGACCCAGCCACCATCTTCTCCCTCGCCTTCTCACCCTGCAACACCATGCTTGCCTGCACCTCAGACAAGTCCACACTTCACATCTTTGACGTTGCCCACCCACGACGGCCAGCCATGAACCGGAGCCAGCAGCTCGGCAGTTCTGGGTCGGATCCTGGAGACGGCACAGGGAAGTGGGGAATTCTCAGCAAGATCCCTCTGATGCCTCGAGTCTTTTCAGATGTCTACTCCTTCACATCAGCGCCTTTCGAGGCCGGCGATGAGACCATGATAGGAGGCATCCCCTTCTCGGAAGGTCTAGTGCTTGGCACGTCACAACCACCAAAGGGCGTGATTGGTTGGATCGGCGAGGATAGCTTGGTGGTGATCGGAGCAGGACACGACGCACGATGGGAGAAGTTTGTCATTGTAAATGGCGAAGACGGCAAGCGACACTGCGTGAGGGAAGGCTGGAAACGATATCTGGGCAACAGTTGAGCGAAGCTGAGGCTATGATCGGGTTAATAAGGAAGAGGGCACGAATGATATTGTTGGGCGAATCTGGATGGGCGTTCTTTGGGGTTCAGAATAGGCACGGTTCTTTTTGATTCAGGGTGTATATTTCGATTTTAGATTATGAGTGCGCTTCCAACACTTGCGCTAATCATCGCGCCGTCGTGGCGACCGACTTCTACTGCGTCTCCTTGGTTTCCTGTCCTTGTCATCCTCGTCCCTATGTCGCCTATGCCGTGACTCGTCATCCTCGTCTCGGTCACGTCTCCTGTGCTCACGGTCTCGATCTCGGTCTCGGTCCCTCCTGCGATCCCGATCCCGTTCGCCGTCTTCATCCTCTCTGTCCCTTCTCCTGTCCCTATCCCTTCGCCGGTCACGATCGTCGTCTCGATCTCTGTGTCTTCGCGACTCTTTCTCGTGGCGCCGTTCGTCTCCTTCTACAGGAGTCTCATCCCGGCGCGATTTGCGGTGTCTGTCTTCCCTGCTATCGTCCCTCCTAGATCGGTGCGATCGATGATGTCTGTGTTTGTGTTTCCGGTCCTTCTTGTCGGCGTTGCGCCGGGCCTCTTCAACTTCCTTCTTCTTTTCCTCGATCAGGAATCCCTTCATAGGATCGTCATCGTCATGTTCCTGCATGAGCAGCGCTAGTTCTCTCTCCTCGGGCAGCATAGGTCGTCTCTGCTCCTCCTCACTGCTCTCGTCTTCTGACAAGGCCTGTCCCTCTCGCTTCATGATGTCCTCCCAGCCGACCTTGAACTCTTCTGGGTCTTCATCGTCCCGAGCCTTGTACCGCGCATGGTCCACACGGACGAGGCGACCACCAATTTCTGCTCCGCCTAGGTTGTCGACTGCCAAATCGGTGCTCCGTTGATCCTCATATTTGAGCCATCCAAAGCCCTTGGACTTGCCCGTTTCTTTGTCGCGGACGAGTTTGAGAAAGACAGGCTCCCCAAACTGGGAGAAGATTGTTACGACATCGCCTTCGGATAGCTCGTAGGGTAGACCGCCAAAGTAGATGTAGGCAGTGTCGCGGTAGTCGGTATGCCAGGAACCTTCTGGAGTGCTGAGCGCGTCGTCGTCAGTATTCTATAGATTCTTCAAGGCAGCTTGGAAGACTCACATTCCGTTTTCGATCTCCTTCTTGTTAAGCGCTTGGATCGCGCGAATCTGATTCATCTTGGGCCAAGCTGTTCTTTATACAGCCCAAGTTGTCAAGGTATAAAAGTGTTGATGAAGAGTCACGAGGCTGAGATGCAGCAACGTCAGAAGCAGAATGCGCTGCAAGACACTGAAGCTTCAAAGGTCCGTGCGCTAACCTGTACCTACAGACCGCCGCCGCGACCCGACCGCGCAGTGCCGTTCCTTTTTGCGGGACAATTTCCGGACCGACGCTAAAACGGTCCCCCCGTAGTCTAGGTTATCCCGTCGTTGAATGGGGGGACCTGGCAACCCTGGCCACGTTCCTGGGCTTTTCGATCAAGACGGCGGTCGACGAGACGATCAGATCAGAAACGGCCATCGAATTTGTGACCTTGGAAGACGAGATACCTGTCTTTTACCTACCCGAGACGCTTCGTCTAGGTGCCTAGACAAACGACCACCTACTGCACGACTCTACCCGTCATTGTACGCCGAGCAAAGATGCCCCTACGACATCCTTAAGCGTTTACCTCCTTTGTCCATACACGATACAAGACGCGTAGCTTTTCCGCCGCTGTCGTCCCCGACATCTCCTAGCTGACCCAGGATACCGTCTATGACCCAATCTACGTTGATCCCGCCCCGCGATTTGACCGTCATTTATCGGTTCCAGCAGCGAGCTAGCTGAGGTGGACATCCGCCGCCATGACGACCAGCAACAACAGAGCGTCAGTCTACACAACAGGCTCGGGGGAAGGCGAAGGTCGCAATGGCGAGCAGAAAAAGGATCTCTGGACGTCGATGCTCGAGTCCGTCGCGAGCGGCAAGCGGCTACCGGAGAAGAACCTCATCGTCCTAGGTACGGGGAGAAGCGAAACACGGAGCAGAGTTCGATTTAGCTGATCATGCCCGCAGGCGGCACTCCCGAATATCAGAGAGACTTTCTAGAGTCCCTGTCCAGCTCCGAGTCGAGGCGCAATTTTGATCGGCAAAAGACGCCGCCTATCGCCAACAACTTTGCCCTGGGCTACACATACTACGACGTGCTCGACGCCGACCAAGATGGTTTGTAGCTCTGCACGCGCCTTGCAGCATTAGACTAACAGCTTCAGATACGTTGGCACGTGTCTCGCTCTACCTCCTCTCTCAACCTTCCGCCGAATTCGCCTCCCTCGTCGCTCCTCTCCTCACCCCTGAGACGATCCCCAATACCGCCTTAATCATCCTCCTCGACTGGTCACAGCCGCACCTGTGGCTCCGGCAAATATGGACCTGGGTTCAAGTTATACAGGAGGTTCTTAAGAAGGTTGATTCGGAACAGCATGCCTTGATGGAGGATGTCATGACCGCTTGGAAAGAGAGAGGCCGAGGAGGAGGAGCGACGAATCTGGACGGAACTCCTTCAGCGACAGCCACTAGCGGTGACGGCGATAGCTCTCTACCGTTGGGTCCTGGTGAATGGGAGGAACCTCTGGGCCTACCACTTTGCGTGGTGTGCCAAAATGTGAGAGCCCATTGATCGTGCTCTAGACCAGTTGACTAACATTAAGCAGTCCCAAAAGATGGAGTTTCTGGAAAAGAGTCAGGGTTGGAAAGAGCCTGATTTCGACACGGTATTGCAATATTTGCGAACAGTATTACTTAGACGTATGTGAATCTGCCATTGTTCGTTATCACTTGCTAACACATCTCAGACGGCGCTTCTCTCATCTACACCTCACAAAATACACCCTCTCAACTACCCTCACTTGTTCACTCGACCCTTGGAATCACCTCACTCCTCAAGCGCCACCCACTCAAGCACAACGTTATCGACCGTGATAAGATCACTGTCCCCACCAACTGGGACTCATGGGGCAAGATCCGCGTCCTAGGCGGTTCTTTCGATGCTGAGCAAATCTCCAACTCGTGGGCCGAGGATATCAGCTCCTCGCTAGACCCTACACACGATCCTTCAGACCAGGGAGACTTTGAGGACGATGAGGAAGAGGAAGAATACCTGAACCAGCAGCGAAAGAATAGCGCAATCAGGCAGTATGAGGCCTGGTGTCGGGACCCCAACAGCGGCGGTCTCGCGGTCGTCGAGAACGCCATGCATGGCGAGAAGTGGATCACGGTCGAGAGCGACGACACGCAGGAGTTTCTCGAGCGCCAGCTCAAGATCCTCGAGGCCTTCAAGGCAAAGGCCCCCGAGAGGAACGACAATGCCATCGCCCGCGCCACCCGGCACCTCGACTTTAGCGAGGAAAAGACGGTCAGCGAGCATATTGGCCCCGTGCAGTTCAACATGGGTGGTATCCAGGTCGACGCCGATGATATGTTGCAGCGTCTCAAGGTGAGTTTCGCTTGTATGTCTAGCTTGTGATAAACAACTAACAGTTTCCTCCAGGACCGCAATGCGTACTCATCTACGTCTGAAGCTGGAACGGAAGAGACAGACACGCCCGCCAACAACATGGCCAAGGACTTCGATAACGAGCAGCTTCAGAGTTTCTTTACGGGCTTGATGAACCGAAAGGGCACTGGGACGGACTGAGACCCGTCCTCCTAGAAATCCTATGAGCCACGGGATGCACGCAACCCCCTTTCTCTTGTTGTGAGTCCCTAGCTGGTAAAATCGAAAAAGGGAGGGCGATCGAGGTTGTGGAGTTGTGAGGGTGAGGGGCCGGTGGCCGCTGTAGACTAGATACCCCTGAATGACAAGATTTGATCACATAATGATTGACTGATGGTAAGGCTCAAGAGGCCCAGTCTTTTTTTATTCAAGCACTTTTTAACAAAGACTCAAATACTCAGTCAGTTGACCAAGAAGTTCTGGTCACCACATAAATGGCAGTACACATCTCGAATATAGCATCAAATCAGATGGATGCTCGATAGAGCACCACGTCGCTCCTTTAACGCCCCTCAGCCGTCAACACCGACTCCAAAGTACTCTGGCAATCCCTCCTCATGCTGAAAGTCTCTCGGGCTGGTAGTTGACATTCACGTTCCTTCGCTGGCTCCCCAACCTCGCCGTCACGACGCCCGCGAGCAAACCCGGGAAGAGCCAGGGATGCTGTAGCATCTCGGCCTCAAAGGCGTTGATGGTCTGTCGTGCGTTGACAGCGAGCTTATCGTCTGCCAGCAGATCTGCGATGCGGAAGAGGTTGGACACACTGATGGCGTTGGTCGACGGGACGGATGTATCCATGCCGTCCTTGAGGCGGAGAATAGTGTGTGGGCTGGATGCTTGTGTCGAAAAGAAGGCTCCCTCAGGGTCGTAGAACAACGACAGCTGTGTTTCTGCAGAAGAGTGAGTTAAGCGCTTATAACAAGTTGGGGCAGGGTAACTCACGCTGTAGAGTATCAGCAAACACCAAGTACGCCTCGTTCCCTGTCGCATCAAAGAGGTCCAGGAGGCCCTGTGTCAAGTAGGCATAATCATCCGCAAAGGCTTGCGTCTCCCTCTCGCCCGACCATATCCTGTACAAAACCTTGCGGTCGCTATCCCAGAGCTTCTCCTGAATAAACTTGACCGCCTTCTCTGCCACAGCCAGGTACTTGGAGCTCTGTTCCGGTCTCAGACCCTTTAATGCCAAGGCCGTCTTGGCCAGCGCGGATATCACCAAGCCGTTCCATCCAGCAACCACCTTGTCATCCAAGTCTGGTCGCACTCGTTCCTTGTCCCTTCTTTGCTTGAGTGCCACTTTTCCTTCTTGGACATATTGTCGGACCTTGTCCTCGGGGATGCTGAACTGTACGCTAAGCTGCTGGACACTTCGTTCAATCCTGAGGATGTTCTGGTTGATAAAGTCATCGTTGGGATCGTGGTGCTCGTCCACGTTTCCGTCCTCGTTGACAGCCCAATGAGCAGCTAGGACGGGGCTCATGTGCTTGTTGACCTCGTCAAGCACCGAATCGAACTCTCGTCTCGTCCACACATAGTAAGCGCCTTCTCGCATCTCCCTATCGCCTCGTCTGTAGTGAGAATCGGCTGCTTCGCTGGAAGCAAAGCCTCCCTCGGGGAGCGCAATCGGGGCAGAAGAAAGATACTCGGCGAGTTCGATAACGATGTCGAAAAACTCCGTCGGTTTATCCCCTCCAGTCGATTTCCATGCGTCGAGATACAGTGAAAGGAGCTGCGCATTGTCCACCACCAGCTTCTCAAAGTTAGGAATACTCCAGTCCGGGGTCACAGAGCAGCGCGAAAAGCCAGTGCCTCCAACATGATCATGCAGCGCACCGTCGCGGATGTGGCGCAAAGTATCGAGAGCCATTTCCGTAGCATGTTTGCACTCTGCCTCGCCAACAACATCTTGCACCTCTCGAGGAAAGTTAAGAAGTCCGAGCAGGAAACCCAGCTTCGGGGGCGTCAGGAACTTGGGCGCAAGACCGAAGCCTCCGTAAACAGGGTCAAAGGTTCCAGCAATGTGGGTATAAGCCTCCTCCAGCTGGTCCAAGTCCAACTCTTCCGACACTGAAGTATCCTTGTCCTTGGGGGCACTCGTATGACTAGGAGCTGGTGCGCCCCAGCCCGAGGGCGCGAGAGCTGAGGTTGCCGAGATGTTTCTAGTGCCCAGGGTACCCTCAGCTGCGAATTCCCGAAGCTGTCCGAGAACCTCGGTTGCCTCCTTTCGGCAACGTGATTCTTGGTCGCTCCAAATATCTCGGACCTTTTTCACGATGGTGAGGAAATCGAGAACTTCGTCGGCGCTGTCATCGGTAGTATGTCGTCTCCCTGCAGGACCAGGCCAGTAAGTACCACCAAACACAGGCTCCAGGTTTGGCGTGAGGAACAAGTTCAAGGGCCAGCCGCCAGCATTGCTCACAGCCTGAACATAGTTCATGTAGATGGTATCGAGGTCTGGGCGCTCTTCTCGGTCGACGATTACGGGGACGAAGAACTCGTTCAGGACAGAGGCGCAATCAGGATTAGAGAAGGACTCTAGCAGCATGAGGCGGCAGACTGTTGCTATCAGCGACCTAATATCTCAAGAGCTGGGATCAGACTTACAGTGGCATGCCTTGTAGCCAATATGGAGAAAGATCAACTTATTCTCCTTCCTCGCGCGCTCTACGGTCTCGTCGTCCAACAACTGCCACGCAACTAAGCTGCTGGCCTGATCTTTGATGTACGGGCTCCGACTAGAAGCAGCGCGGTTTTGAAGAGCTGGGAGCGGTTCGGATGGGCCGGCCGCTGCGCCAGCCACGGGGGTGGTGCGCATGGCCTTGGCCGACGCAGTGAGTTGTGAAGCGACCATGATGGTATCTGGTGATGTGGTTCGAAGATGCGCAGTCGAGCTATGTATGGTCCAGATTTGTAGTCGTTCGTTTTCGCGAAGCTGGGTAAAGGCCAGCTACCCAAGAATACGGCGGGGAATCAGGTAAAATGTTGGAAGCTGGCTTCTGCAGCTCAGCTATAACCAAGGGAAATGTGACGTCTCACTCTAGAGTCGCAGCTGATGCGAGGACAAGTAGCGGAAGGAAGAAAGATGCAGGAGCTGAGCTGAAATGCCCTGCGAGTCGCTAAGCGGAGACAACGTGATTGTCCACTAGCGATTAATTAAACAGGCGAATCTGAGCTTCCCATGGATTCTTTTAGAGCCCAAGCGAGACGAGGCGGAGGGAGAGACGGCACGGAAGAGAGAGGTGAGGCAAAGATAGCGGGGTCGTCATTGCCGTCGCGGGGCATCCAACGTAATGTCTTTAGCGCGGCTTCCGCCTTCGGCCATGGCCTGTCCATATCGGACACTCTGTGGGCTTTGCCATGAGTCAAACAACTTAGATATCATGGTTCATGAATCGCGTGTTTTCGATGACCGATAACGGCAGGGGAACTCTCCAAGTTTTAGTTCGGATATGCTAGAGTGCGTCAAGTGCCACAGGGACCATGTGTGCAACTGTTTTGTGTGTGTGTGTGTGTGTGTGGCGGTGGGTGGGTTAAGCGTCCGCCAAAATGGTAACCATCGCTATGGCCAAGCCAATGATCCACGGCGGTTTTACAATATCAAGCATTAACAGCCTTATTATATGCCTCTGCGTATGCACGACGGACTTGCCACCAGACCTCTTTTGGATCCGGGACCTGACTGCTGTTGTACTGCGGCTTAATGTCTAGAGATGGTAACCTTGTCCACGGCCAAAGTTGCCTACCCTAAAGGATTGGAGATCCATGGTTTCATGTGACCCGACAACTTTGGCTCCGTCTGGTAAAACTCAGGCTCGGATGTAGGATTTAGTCCTCGGGCTTGTGACACTTTTTCATTTGTATGATTAGATTTGAACTAAGGTGTGTGTACCTGGTGGTTAACCAGTCAAGCTCCTGTGTGAATGCCTGCCCTGGTGACCGCAACAGTTGCCAGAACCACAGACAAGAGTGTCCCGACCAATCTCCAATCTGCCCTCAAAGGGTCGTTATTAACTTACAGATATCGAAGATGTGACATATAGTCTTCAACTCACACTCGATATCGTCGGATTGGTATGTGAGTTGGAATCAGGAGTGTGTGTAAGAGAACAGTAAATATGAATACTGGTAATTTGGGAACACAGGTGAGTAACACACACCGCGAGAGAATTGAATCGCTGATTCATAGTTCCATGTCCTCATAGTAGTGATATAAAGATGACCTCTACTCACCCAGCTGATCAGGAATGAAAGACAACCCGTGCAACTCTGTGAAACCGAGCAAACCTTTTGCAACCCATACTCAATTTTGGAAACCAACACGAACTCGAGATCATCGACACCTTATCGCCATGTCTGCCCAGTTCGATCCGTCTGTCCCCAAGGCCGGTGACAACCAAACGTCAATGAATGAGACAGAGGCAGAAGTCAGTCTGGCGTATAGCATGGCTCTCCACGAACTTCGCATCATCCTCAAGATGATCCGGGAGGTTCGAATCCCACCCTCTGACGACCTGGAAACTCTCAAGACACACCGCGAACTGGTGATTAGCGATGTCACGAGACTCGACAAGAAAGTCAACATCAGCATGGACTACCTTAAGGCCCGTGACGCCCAGTTCCACTATCAAGCCAAGCGTCTTCGTACACCGGACCGAATCGACAGACTTCGACTCTGGTATCGGGAAAAGAAGCATCAGATGGAGGCGTCCCGACTGCAGCATGGAGACAAGGGCTACCAGGCGGCTCTTGAGCGGTTCGAGGAGGAGAAGCGGGTCACGATCAAGTGTTATGAGTTGGAGGGATTATGGAAGAAGGCCATGAAGCGAGAGGAGTCTGTCAAGTCTGGCGGAGACGATGACTTGGCAAGCGACTGCGAGACCATCATTGGGGAGGATTGAAACTTTGCAGAACGGACGGTGTGGCAGTCTGAGAATGAAAGGTTAGGGTAGGCCGCTTGGCTTTGAGCTTATTGTCATACCCCGGACGCAGGTACCCGTTAGAAAGCCAAAGAAATTAGAGATTAGAAAGCGTGTTGATGAAGCAATGTCTACTTGTAACCTTGGGAGTGAAGCTGGCCCAATCGCTTGAGGGGTCACAGACGGGAGACTGACCGACAGACAGGGTGACTTGTCTGACATGATGCAACATTGATATTGGAATAGGCAGGTTGCTGATGAGGAATGAGGGATCAAAATCAAAGGGAGGTGGGGAAGCGTGAGGACGCAGAGCTACATGATGCCTCATGTGAGACTTCGTTGCTGCATGCTGTAAACTCCAAATTGGTGGATGACACCGAGCGTTTCCGTACGTGAGTGTGTTGAAGATTTCCAATAAAACTCAGACAAACGTGAAAACTTTGATCGGATGGCGCACAAAAAGGAGCATTGCCATGAAGGCTGGGATGATTCTTGTGATGCTGTTCTGTCTGTCCTCCCTGCCTCCCTCCACAGCCTGGAAGGTGTCCGGTTACGTCGATCCCTAAAGTGGGCCTGTCTCACGTCCGGGTCTGGAGGCGCTAGAGCGGCAGCTAGCTTATCGATAAGCCGATCCCGGAACCCTGCACCTTGTAGGTCCTAGGTACCTGGTAGCTCTTCGAGGTCGGCTTCTACCAGGACCAGCTGCTTCTTCTTTCATCCTCCTCCATCTCCTCATCCCACCGACTCGCCATCCACGGACCATGGCTGAGCCGACATACACCGTATTCGTTCGGGTGCCCATGCCCCGGGGTGACTTTGTTGATCCTCCCCCAGTAAGACCCCTTGCGCCGCTTCTTTCCGTCGCCGCATCATGCGCCTCACGCCGCCAACAGTCATGGGAGGCTAACTGGAAGCATTACAGGTGAACTGGGACTCCAACAAGGACGAGGCTCTATGGAAGATCCTATCTGGAGCTGCGAAAACGGAGATTGACTGTAAGATGATGAATACTTATTTCCCATGGCCCTGTAACTAATTCGAGACAGGGAGTGAAGTGTAGGTCATCTTGGTTTGTCAACTGTCGTGCAGCTGATGCTCATCCGAATTCAGTGCCGATCGCTTCGATGTTCCCGTCGACTTCCTTCTACAGCAGGTCGCATATCTTACCGAACGACATGCCTCACAAGTCCGCGCCCAGGTCCGAAAGGCCACTGCCGCCGTCCGCGGCTCGGCCGCCCCATCACCAGTACCAGACTCCGTAGGACCTGGTCATCAACGAGCACCGTCCTCTCTATCGATCCGACGAGATTCGCCCATGCCGCGCAACGAGGTGGGAAGCGGCACCGGGACCCCGCTGAATGCGTCGATACGACCAGTCATCTCACGGAATCCATCAACGAATACAACAGTCCTGCGGGACATGACGGGAGGTTCGGCGTCGCCCCGGCCGGGAATGGGCATAGCATCAACACGAACCGGCGAACGACGACGTCTGACATCACTGCCCATCTCAAACGTACCTAAGTCGCCGGAGAGAGTGGCGCAGCCAGATCCATCACCAGACGAACAAAGCGCGTCGCCCGGGCCAGCAGATGATAGCTCGACCATGTCATCTGAGGATGAATCCAGCCCTGCACAGTCTCGAATTATTCGTCGGCCTCCTCGATTCCAGCAGAACGATGGAGGAGCGTATGAAGATGATGACGACGACGAGTCAGAGCCTGCTTTTCAACCCTACACAGCCCCGTCAAACCAGACCTCTGCCCAGGACCTTGGCTCAACACTGCGGGAAGATGGGCGGGGCTCAGGCAAACGATTCACAAAGAAACATGGAAAGGAGGCCATCCACCAGTCTCAAACATCCGACTCTTCGGCTAGCTCTGCTGCAATGGTCCATCGGCCAGGCAAGTCGCGGGAGCAGCGGACACCCGGGCCCCTTTCACCACGCCGAGCAGCGGAGCTGGCTGGCCACAGTCCAGGCAACAAGAGCAGGGGATACTCCCGTGAAGGCAGCGACGGAACGCCCAGCATGGGTAGCAGTTTTAGTGATCTTGATGGTATAGTTTAGTTGCCTCGCTTATGCTTGGGTTGCCTGCTAACCACATTTCTAGATGCCTCTGTAACGCAGTCTGCCTTGGAGGAGGCATTGGCTAGCCACATGAATCGGGGCGCGGGAAGCCGCTTCAGTATTAGCCAGGCTTTCCGCAGCCGATACACCCCCAGTTCCAACCAGTGAGGGGCATTTGTTTGCTTGATACTAATTGTTTGGCATGGTGTTTGGGATACTACGGAATGCATCCAGGATGGCGTTTGCTTCTATGACCAGGTAGGGTTTGTTTTCTGTGCAGGATCTGGCTGGCGGATATCCCAACTCTTTTATGCTATGAAATGAATATTGAAGGATTCTTGATGAGCAGTCGATCTGTAAAGAGCGATGCACAGCCAATTAGGCAATTTGTTTCTTTGTTTAGACTCATTCGAACGGGAGGCTTCTTGGTGTTGATTTAATACGATGATGGGTAGACTAAATTGAGTTGTTGATAACTCCTATTGCACTATATGCTGAGCATCATGTATCCAGATTGAGAAAACTATCCATGTGCTCGTTGAGGGAATGAGGGCATGTATGCTCTGTGCCGTCAAACTTGAGCTCTGAGATTTCAGTCGTCGTTTGTTGTTTGCATCTTCTGTTTGCACCCCCTCCCGTTGGCCTGCACCTGTTCACCTCCTAACCATCAGTGCATTATAATACTTACCTCAACATCTTCCACCTGAAGAACTTCCACACTCATCATAACCTCTTCAACTCAACTCAACTCCACCTCTCCTCCCTTCTAACTCGACCTTCTTTCTTACTTCCACATCGCCAAAGCTTCACATACCATGTTTCGCCGATGTTGGTCTGGCCTCCCCAAGGATGCCTCCTTCGCATCCGACCTCGAAGGCCTTGGGTTAGTGCTATTGACTCTATGCGCAGATTATTGCTAAGATCCATCAGGTACTTTGTCAACGATGAAGATGAGATCCGTTCCATCGAGAACCCCGACTGCTACTACAAGTTCTTTATCAGCAAGAACATGCGCGTCAACGAACGCCAGCGCTTCCACTTCAACGGTGATCTCCAGTGCTGCCCCATACTTGGACAAAGAGGCTAATCAGTTTTGTGTAGGTGCGATGCAGGACATCATTCACGATCGCTTGATGAAAAAAGGTCTCTTGAGAATCCCGCTCGGCACAGACGAGAAGCACTGTCCTATCTTCATCTCGCCCAAAACCACCGTCGCAGCGCGCATCATTGTCATTTTGGGTGAACCAATTCAGAATGTCGGCATGCTCGCCGGCCGCGTCGCCAGCGGTCCTGGAGGTCTTACAAAGGGCAGCATTCTCTCCGTCGTCCGGGCCATCGCCAAGCAAAAGGGCAACCTAAAGGCCCAATGCCCTCCATCTATTGTGCTCGCAAACATGGGAGAGCGACACTGGTGGCCCGAGGGAAAGCGCTCCATCACAGTCGCAGACAGCACCGACATTCCTCTGCCGAGTTTGGTGCACACTGGGCGCAAGTACATCAAGGAGCTCAACGAGATCCCCGGGAGTGAGACTGCCGCCGCGCACATGGCGACCGTCTTCAAGAACATTGCCGAGTGGAACAAGCATGCTAAAATCGATGTCATTGCTATTGGGGAGAGCTGTGAAGTTGCGCTCAAGTTCTTTGAGGACAAGGAGAATTGGGAGAAATGGGGGGGTCGGATGGGTGGCATGCTCATGTTTGGCACCGTCTACAATACTGAGAAGCTCACCAATGACGGTTTCAAGAAATTCCTCACCGAGGCAAGTCCAACAATATCATAGCTTCATCTGCCTATCACTGACCTCTCCAGCGCACTCGTGCCTACCTTGTCTCCCCTGAGCCTCTCGACACTCCCCTGGCCACGGCCCGAGGCAACCCATCCCTCTCGATCGAACCTCTGGGTTGCCCCTGTTTGTCTTCTGGAGAGCCACACTACGTCGAGCTCATTGCCATCAAAGCTCTTGAGCCTGCTCTCGCCTACCTCCAGGAAATTGCCCTCACAAAGGGCTTTGTTAACCCCGAAATGGCCGTGGCCGAGAGACCTCCCACCGACTTTACCGACGAGGACTGGAGCAAGTTGCCTGAAGAGAACAAGCCCGGCGTCGTCACCCTGGATCAGGAAGAGATGAAGAAACGGATCAAGGAGCTGAGACGCTGGAAGAAGTTTGAAGAGACTGGTCAAGCCCCTGACTGGGACTCTGATGACGAGGAGGAGGAGGAACTCCCACAGGGCTCAGGTAAAGAAGGTTGGCGTGAGGGCGACGCGTGGTAAGCGTTGAATCTGTACTTGCAGAGGAATGATATTCGGGGACATTTCGTTCATTAGAAATAGACTAGGGTCAATTTCATGTCTTACACCAAGACCATACAAGATACACGGCACAATCTCTTGGCAGCGCCCAAAACTATGATACTCCCATCATGAAAACCCACGTTTGATATTTTTACACATTCCTTATGCCTTGAACAGCGAAGCCAGGTTGGGACCGCCTGGTGTTATCTCCTCGATGAGCTCTCTCGTCCTCCGCACGCGCTCCCTGACAACGGCGTCCTCAGCCGTCCACCGGTTTTCGGTGCTGGGTGTGGTGGGTGAGGAACCGCTCCAGAAGGAGAAGACGCCACCAGACTGCGAAGCGGCCTTTTCGCGGCGCTGCTCTTCTTCCTTGGCCAGCTTGACTACCATCCTGCCCCAGTTGTCGAGACCAGCGCTTAGACACTCTCGGCATGTCTTCTTGGCAGTTTTGTCCTCGTTCAGAGGGTCCATGTTGCGGAGCTGTTCCTCAGCAGCATCGACACTATCACGCGTCCAAGAGAGGCCATCGTCCTTGGATGATGAGGCGAATAGAATCTCACCAATCCACAGGCTCAGAGAAGCTTCCTGGCAGCGCTCCTCGGGACTTCGCCAGGGAGGCTGAGTCCCATCTGGAGGAGGAGGGGGATAGTCGCGCTGAGAGACGGTCTCGATGAACTGGCCCCAGACCGAGGTAGGCTTGCGCTTGGGGACAACGGAAGGAGGAGGCTTGTTAGAGAGGTAGCGGCGGGCCTTGAGTAGGGAGAGGTAGATGGGGAGGGCGGCGTTGATGTTTCCACTGCGGGCCTTGTGGGTGGCGATGGCGGTGATGGCATCGAGCATGTTTTGCGAGGGAGGACCGGCCTTTTCGTTAAGGATGAAAGTCTTTGGGTTGTAAGGAGGATTTGACATGTCAAGCCCCTGAGTGGCCTCGGCGAGCGCGAGGTTGTACAAAGCCTCAGCGCCCTCTGGCCGCTGCTTGAACTCCATGAAACTGGCATATTCCAGAGCCGCCTCAAGCTTTTGCCGAGAGGTGAGGCCCTTGGTGGCCAGGATCTTCATGTAAAAGTTGTCAGCACCGGGGTAGGCCACCTCGCAATCCTCTTCGCGGGGCGCATGGGGTTGACCTGGGGGAATCGGCATGGGTCTGGGGTTAGAAGGTCCAATGACGAACTCGGGAGGCGAGATGACGTTCCGTGAGAGATCGCGAACCCAACCATCAACGTGCTCTGCTGCCTTGGCTGCCACCATGATGGCTTCAAAGTAACCCCTCCTCCACTCCTCGCTCTTGCCCGAGATGTCGCAGGGGTTGAATTCCCCAGGGATCTCGGCCTCTGGGTCAACCCTATCCGAGAGCTTGGTCACATCCTGGCCGTCGACCTTGGCGTCCTCCAACCTGAGCACCAAAGCTCGAGAGAGCTCAAACGCCCATGGCCAACTGACCTGTCCATTGACCGGATCCTTGTTGGCGTGGGCGTCGCGCAGGTATTTCCTCGTCATCCACCCCCACTCGTGCGGCGTGGGGAACTCCCTCTCGAGCCTCTCCTCGTTGACCAGCCAGAGAATGACGCCGCAGCAGGCGAGCAGACCCCAGAAAGATGCTGTGTACCGGACGGCGAGCTTCGCCTCGTGCTTGAGCCATTGCCTCCGCTCGGTGGTGAAGTAGCGCACTACGGCGCGGTTGGTGACGGGGATGGTGAGAAAAGGTAGGTTCGGCCTCGACTTTGTGGTGAGCTGCGTGTGGTAGGTGAATGTCCGCAGACACGGTGATCGCGTTCGTATGCTGGGCTGGATGAGCCGGACACGGCCGACGAGCCGGGGACGCATGGCGCCGGCGATTCAATTGGTTTTTTTTCTTTCGAATATAGATCTGATCGGATCGTGGGGTTGAGGCTCAAGTCGAACCATGTGCTCAGCTCATGGTGACGATGGGAAATCCTCAACCAATGGGAGGGTGCTTACTAAGAAAACGCCTTTTCCCACAAAAAACCTCGTAGATGCATACCGGCTCAGGCACACCGTCTCGAATGCTAACAGGGGGTTTATCTTCCGAGAAGGGTTTAAGAAAAAATGTCGTCCTTCTTGTCAGAGAACCTCTCAAACCCCAGGTTCCAGCTCTTGGCGACTGCCGTCCTGTCCGGAGCCACCGCCGCCTCTCTGCTGCTCGGTTATCAGGCCCTTGAGCGGAAGGAGCGGGTCTATGAGCTCAAGAACTCGATACCCGACGATGACCCAAACCTTCAGCCAGTATTTTTCCTTCTCTCTCCGGCTGTTGTAGTTGTAGATTCTGACTAGTGCTTAGTTGAACAATTATGGAGGCTCGTCAGCACCGCCTGTCGACAAGGAGGATGCCAGGAATCAGGCGCTAGCACGCCGGGCTCAGGCAGGAGACTTTGATGAGGAACTCATCCTTGAGCAACTGGCGCGCAACAGGGTCTTCTTGACGGATGAAGGTCTTGACAAGTTGCGTAACTCGTTCGTCATTGTGGTGGGATGTGGTGGTGTCGGTTCTCACTGCACTGCATCCCTGGCTCGCTCAGGAGTTTCCAAGATTCGACTCATCGACTTTGATCAAGTAACGCTGAGCTCACTGAACCGCCATGCTGTGGCTACCCTGGCGGATGTCGGCATCCCTAAGGTGCAGTGTCTTCAGAGACGGCTGATTGCCATTGCACCATGGGTCAAGTTCGATTTGGTACAGGAGCAGTTCAACGAGGGAGTCGCAGAGCGCATGCTCCAACCTTGGGATGGACGAGCACCCGACTATGTGATCGATGCTATCGATAATATCGAGACTAAGGTTTCTCTCCTCGAATATTGCTACAACAACAAGATCCCCGTCATCAGCGCTATGGGAGCCGGTTGCAAGAGTGATCCAACAAGGATTATTGTGGGAGACATTGGAAGCAGCAAGGACGATGGTCTATCGAGGGCGACACGGCGGAGACTCAAGTTGAAGGGAATCACGAGCGGCATCCCGGTGGTTTACTCGACAGAGACATCAGGGGCTGGAAAGGCCGAGTTGCTCCCCCTGCCAGAGGAAGAGTTCCAGAAGGGTTCCGTGGGCGACCTAGCAGCCATGCCCAACTTCCGCGTTCGCATTCTCCCCGTCCTCGGTACCATGCCCGCCATTTTCGGTCTCACAGTCGCGAACCACGTTATCCTGAGCGTCACAGGCTATCCCCTCGATTACGTTCCCTCCAAGGGCCGTGATCGCATGTACGAGGGTATCCTGGCATCACTTCAAGGCTACGAGGACAAGCTGGCGCGCATCACCCACAACGGCGACACAGTAGGTCTCAAGATGCCCATCACAGTTGGCGACGTGGCGTTCCTCTCGGAGGAGATATACCGCGGTAGAAGCGCCATCAGCGGGATCCCCACCAAGCTGGTCCTCATCAGGTGGAGGAAGCCCTCTGGCAGCAGCATGACGACGTTGGGCAAGGGCAAGGACATGCAAAAGTGTTCCACCGTCCAGCTGAGGGACCTTGTCTGCATGACCAAGGAGGAGGCCATACGGCATGAGAAGAAGGTCTATAAGTCGGGGAAGCCTCTAGAGGAGGTGTATGACGCGACGACGATTGCGAGGGTTGAGGAGAGGCTGAAGGAGGCTGAGAAATATGAAGCCTTTCGATGAAGCGCCAGGGGCGTGTCGATCAAGGACAGGATAGAAATGGCAAACTAGATTTGATCCATCATATAAAGCAATGTTTTTAAGTAAAGCTACATCGAGAAGGTGATCACAGCACGGAGTGGTTGGGTACAGCTCCCAGCTTGGCATCTTGAAGCGAGGACACAGAAGGTGAATTCTGTTTGTCCAACGCCAACATGAGGTCCCGGCAGGTATATTATCTGGGCAGGTATATACAGATACATGTGCGAGGGCATCATGAAGCCCAAGTACGCCGAATCGGAGCAGCCAGTGGTTGCCTACAGCCAACAGCCCGGGGAAGGGACCAAAGAAGAAGAAGGGACTAAAAGAAGAGGGATAAGAAGAAGGGGTCTAGGAAGAAAAAGAGTGAAAGGAGAAGAGTTCAAGGAAGACAACTTGTTCAGGAAGATGGTCCACTAGGTTCTGCCCTTCTTCGTAATCACAATTAATGACCGATTTTTGCTGTCCTTCTTTTTTGTAATCACAACTAATGGCCAGTTTCTACTCTTCTTATTTGAGACGATGACCGATGTCTTTGGGAAGATGACCGACTTCTCTAAGCCTCTTCTTCAAACCCCGTCGTCTTTAAACCTCTTCTTCTTGACGTTTCCTTCTTGAGCTCAAGGCAACTTCAAGAGAGACGACGAGAAAATAAGGCGAGCTTTGCTTATGTCTAGGAGGGCGACAAGTCGTCGACATTTCGCTCTTGTTCCATCATCTTTGAATTGATTCCTGGGTCATGGTGCTGGCTGGCGGTAGAGGGGCTGCAAGTGCATTCCATGCTTCCAGGTGTGTTTTAGAAGCTGAGACTTGGACGTATGGATGTTCTAAAAACCAAGGAGAAAGAAGTTTGCAGGACTAACTAATCGTCAATTACTGAGACTTTATTTTCTACCAACAGGTGGTAGTGGCGTCTAAGTCGGCACCTCATCCATCGTCAGATATGGGATTCTGAAGCCAACCAGCCAGCTGTAGAGACCACCGTTGTCGCCTAGACAGCCGTTGTGGTCTCTGCCACCGTAGAAAAGTCGAACTCGCCTGGAATATTGGGACATAATGCACGGGCAACTTATATTGAATATTTCATCCATGGTCATGATGTGATTGAAGTCATGCCTTGTAACGCGGATGGGCTACAGGGGGAACAGACACAGTGCGGATAGGTGAAAATGTCGACGACCGTGCTTATGCCCAGTCACCCGCGATTTGTACAAGCGTCCTTCATCTCATACTCTTGAATGAAGACGAAGGTAATATATCATCTAAACTTATTCCGGCTGCAACCTGAGTGGATGGAGGCAATCAGGCTCCGGTTTCTTCAAGCTTCATT